AGAAAGAAAGCAAAGGCATGGCTGTGGGACTAAGCCTTTGGTTAAGCACAAGAAATGAATACGGAATACATGCAATTGACCTTTGGAATGGCTTTGGATTATGATTTGGATTATGTGATTTTAATGTTTATACTAATATGTTTTAATTCTGTGTCTTAATGTCTAAATGCTGTTTATTTTTTATGGTTTAATATGGTTTTAACAGTTTTATTTATAGTTATTTGTTATTGTTTGATTGATGCTCTGGTGTTTACATCTATGATGGCATTGGATTTTGCCATGATTATGCTTTGAGTCCCTCCAGGGGTGAGAAAAATGGTATATAAATACAGTAAATAAATAAAATAAATAAATTTCTTTACTTAGAAAAATAAATAAAAATATATTTTCCTTCTATTAGAAAAGTGTAGTTGTATATAGTATTCAATTGGGCAGCAGCACAACTTGTGGAAATCTTAAGGCTCTGGGCTAGCATTTTGTATTGCAGTTATGGATTCATAACCTAGAATTTCGGGCCTTTAATTTCTCTTTTCAATAAGACCATGTAGCCACGATTGTGTAACTATTGTCAGAGTTATAATTGCACTCCCAAACTTTGTTTGCCAGAGAGAAGTTGCACCAGGAGATCTAGGTCTATTCAGTTGGCAGTTATGGCACAGGAAGGAAGCAAGACTTTAACAATCCTCCTCCTTTTTTTTTTTTTAAAGAGACTCAGACCAGCACCTGCTGTCTGGTAAAGTATGTTTGAAGGGGTGAGGCTGCTAAATTACACAAAGGCATGTGTAATAAAGTAGGCAGTATACAGGTCTTCATTTCTTTTTAGAAAGATATGCACCACTGGAGCTCCCGGAAGCACAGCTGGTTAAACTGCTGAGCTGCTGAACTTGCTGACCGAAAGGACAGTGGCTTGAATCCTGTATTTTATATGATGTGAAAATTGCTTACAGTTTAAACTGTGTGGTCAAGTAATGCATGTGATATATTGCTAGAGTGTACCTTTAGGAGGTTCCTGTGTAAGGCGGAAATGAAGAACCGATAAGATAGGAATGTACTTCTTGCGGCATGTCCAGATGTGAACAGACACGGTTGAAAGTGTATATTTGCCAATGAAGATAAGTGCCGCTTTTGGCTTTAAGGAGTCCAGTGTCATTTGTGCCTACAAATAGAACTTGTGAGGTCGAAGCAGTTGATATAAGGAAGGTGATTTATCTCAGTGAACCAACAAATCCAGGGAGCAGGGTGAGCTCCCGCTGTTAGCCCCAGCTTCTGCCAACCCAGCAGTTCAAAAACATGTTAATGTGAGTAGATTAATAGGTACTGCTTCATCGGGAAGGTAATGGTGCTCCATGTGGTCATGCTGGCCACATGACCTTGGAAGCATCTACGGACAACACCGGGTCTTTGGCTTAGAAATGGAGATGAGCACCACCTCCCAGATGTGGACACAACTAGACTTAATGTCAGGGGAAAATTATACCTTTTATATGTATTCCACATGCATATTTTATATTTCAGTGGAATGCAAATCCCGGTGAACACATTTATAAATTTATTTTCAAAATCTAATAGGATTAAAACTGAAATCCTATGGTCTTTGTGAGGATACATGGGAAGTTACAAAATATATATGAACTTAGAAAAAAAATCCTAGCCATTCTGGTGGAGTCTGGCAGGGGGGAAATAAGATTTTACTCCTTCCATGTTCTGCCCCACAGGCATACACTCAGCAAGGTTCATAATCTAACTCCCTTCTTAGTACAAAACTTCTGCTAATCTAGTTGAAAGTAAATGACATTGAGACTAATGATACTAATATGTATATTGTATGCAGGACTAATTTTTGATACTGCAAAATTCTTGATGAAAGTTTTTTACTTTTAAAAAATGCAATATAATACAGTTAAATTGTGTCTATTTTGACAAGTTTAGAACATTTACTATGAAGAGCATGATGCCATACATGATTGTGTTAACTGGTTTATACAGAAAAATTGGATGGAAGTGAATAACAGGATCAAGATTTTAGATGCATGATAAAAGATGAGAAATAACAGAATGCCTTAGAAAGAGATCCATAGACTATTTCCATTTGTAAGGTGTCACTAGCAGGTAATGAATATTATTTTAAATAATTATTTTGCATTGTATGAAGCAAAGAAGGCCTTTTGAGGAATTTCTCCAGTGACTTTAGTATTAAATCATGCATTAATGTAATAATCCCATTTTCTCCAGAGTTGCAAAAGTTTCTGAGAAAGAAAGTCCTATTCAAAGGATTTAGAATGGAATTGAATTCTACATATATGGTTTTTAAACTGTCTTGCTGACCTATTTGAATTAGGTTCCATCTCAACCTCCAGCTTTTTACGAATTCAGTTTTTAACACAAAGGGACATTTACAAGAAAATGGCTGAGATTTTGGAAGCATGTACCTAAATCATACAGACTTTGAACTTGGTGAACAATAATTAGTCTTATTCTACCAAAGTCTGAAATAGCACAATGTCTTTCGGAAATGTGCATATAAGCAATTCTGCCTGGTTGTTAAAAGCAGTAAATGGCCTGATACTTAGCTTAATTGGGATATTTTCAGAAGCACATTGAAAAATGGCTCTGTAACTCATCCTAAGCAGAATCTGTGTGGTTTATATTCACTGAAAGGGGAAATGTAATTGTTCATTCTTTAAGTATTTAGAAAAGCAGCATGGGCTTTTGAATAGGGATGCATGGAATTCCTAATAAATTATTGTCAAGTGTAGGCAAAACATCCAAATTATAGAGCCACCACACACCATTTTAGTGTTTATCTGGTTGAAAATTTCCCCTTATGAACAGGCATGAAGATGGCTGCCATATGTTTATTCTGGCCAGATATTTTTGGAGAAGATTCCCTTTTGATTTGCTGTTGTGAATGTGGAGGTATGTAAAGAGCTAACTATTTGTTGGCCATATTCAGTCCTTTGCGTAACAGTATCTGTAAAACAAGACACAAGTGATGGTGATTGTTAAATTATTGTAAACATAAGGAAGAAGACATGTTTAGAAGGAAACTCATCCAGTAGAAACAACTGAACTATGCTTAGCAGCTGGGAAACCTATTTCAGTTTTCCAATAAGAAGCCTCTTTTTTCAGCTTGCACTCATGTTCTCATTACTTGGTTTTAAAAAAGCTATTATTTCTGAGTTCAGCTCTGCCTCTACTGACCTTTCCAAAGGTTGTTATTGCCACTTGTTCCCTAGCAGGCTAAAATCATTAAAGATAATAGTCAATTTGTAAATAATGTTATTTACAGAAGCACAAAAATTGTAGGAGAGACCATAAGTAAGTAAAAGGCAAAATGGTTGTCTGAAGGTGTTTCCTGCACACTGAAAATATCCTCTTCAGGTAGTTTTTGATGTAATCTAATGAGGTAGAGGTCTTTGTAGATTGCTTTGCTACAGTGCTCCATATTCCAAATCTAATTCAAAGGGTTGAAGGACCATCTTAGAGGAAATGGTGCTGGAAGAGGCAGAAGGAGGGTGTGTTAAAGAACTCACTCTTCCTTCTTCCAACAGGACAATTTTAAGCAGAACTCTATTCAAGGATTGATGAATGCCACCCATAGGTTCTTGATAACATGTTGTTTCCAGATAAAAACATCAAAAATAAAGAGGATGAGGTGGGGTAGTCTTGTCTTGATACTGTCAATCTTAGCTGAAAATTCCTACCAAAGTTTTATGAGGATGATATTGTAATATTCCTTTTGAGTAACACAAGAAATGCCAAGAATTGTATTTCTCTTTGCTTTCCGAAAGCAGGTTAATGTATTAATGTCAGTATCATAAATAAAATATCAATTTCATTTCAATGAATTTGAGTGTTCTCTGTATTAGGAGGTGAAACAGGCTCAACAAAATGATTGCTCTGGGGCCTTGGTTGCTCTCCTGGCCTACTTTCATGTCTTTGGCACTCCATTCCCCATAAGGCTGAACATTAGGCTTCCCTTTTTGGAATCCCACATATGAGAAGTGAAATGTCAACTACTTCTTCAGTGAAAATGAAAAGAAATGGAAAATAGTATACCAATAATATACCAATACCAAGGTAAAAGGAAGAGGGGCCGACCAAGGGCAAGATGGATGGATGGCATCCTTGAAGTGACTGGACTGACCTTGAAGGAGCTGGGGGTGGTGACGGCCGACAGGGAGCTCTGGCGTGGGCTGGTCCATGAGGTCACGAAGAGTTGGAGACGACTGAACGAATGAACAACAACAACATACCAATACGATGACTGTTGAAAATTCCCTTGGAACCAATTCCTGGCTTATCAGACATCATAGGTTTGGTTTATCTTTTCAATAGTTTATATCTCTCCAACTGTTGTGTGATCGGAACATGACTAAAGAAGTCTATGCTCCACATCTGTTGCTACAAATGACATTCAGAAAATACCATAATTGTTTTAGCAAGGGTTATCCAAGGTGTTTCAGTTTTCTAACTATATAAACACACAAGAAAGCAACAGTTTCTTCATTGCAGCATGGGCTGATTCTTCAGTTTGTAAATAGGTGCCATGTGGGCTGAATTGTATCCTTGGCAAACGCCACACTAGTCACAGGTAGTGCCTAAACCAGTGTTCCATACGTGCATGTTATTCCTGTCCCCAGAAGGCAGCTTTAAAGTCTCAGGGGTGCTACCAACATGTTTGTGGGAAGAAAAGAAGAGTGACTATGCAGCAGTGAGTCAATTAAGTTGCTTTGCCAAATCTCCAGTAGATCTAAATCAATAAACAGAATGCTAAGTGAACATCAGTGGCTGTGATCCTGTATTTCTAGATGTAGCAATGATAAAAGAGCTCCATTGCTTTAGCTACATCTTTCAATGCTGCTGACCCAAACTGATTTCAAACAAGGCAGCTTGCTGACAAAAAGGTTAAAATTATTGAGAATGTACTATATATTCAACAGATGTATGCATTCCCCATGAAACTCATTCTTTTTCAAACTGAAAGGTGAAGATACTCCTTCTTTCATACATTCACTTTTAATTTTCTTCTGTTTTAACAAACTGGGTCTACTATAATGCAACATAAAATAGTTGTTACCTAAGACATTAAATTTCATTTTTGGTAGTTTGTTTAATAATTCCATAGTAAATATGCTGGTGGAGGTATGCATTCAGATTTTTTTAACCATGCAAAATAAAAAAATACAAAATGATAGCATTAATTTCTGGAAATGTTTTTTTGTACAATAGTAATAATCAGACTCATAGTCCATAGCAAAGTCTTCACTTTGAGATGCTGTGCAAAATGTAACAGTTAACAATCTCCATTAACTAATTACAGCCCACTAATTTTTAAATTGTGAACAAATTATTATGAAAATGGAAAAATGATACAAAGGAATTCATTAAACTGAATTAAGTAAATTAACAAAGTATACATTCTGTGACATCTTAGAAAAAGCTAGTATTTCCGTAATTTTAACGTGTTACCTTAGTGGTTTCCCAATCAAATTAAGGATGGCTAGCTGTAGAAAATTAGAGCCATCAGGTTTGGTAAACATTAACTACACTCTGTTTCATGAGCATCTTACTAAAAGTTTAAGCACTTCTTAGAAGTGTTCAGATTGCCAGGTTCTTGGAGAATATCAAAATTTCACCCATTCAAACTTCTTTCCTTTTCCTGGAGAGTTCTGTAATGATCCCTTTTGTATCTCTGTGCTTTGAAAAAATCATGAACTGCAGTGAAGAGGGGCCTGTCCCGTATCCACTTCTCCATCAGAGTTCATTATGAGAGTTCTTGTCAGCTGCCTTGAACATGAGAATTGAGTTGAAGATTTTTAGTGCTGGTCCCAGTTTAATGCTCATTATTTTGACTATATCTGCTTGGGTCATTAGCAAGAAAGCTTCTCCATCAATTTGCTAAAGAAGGAAAGAAAGAAAGTAAGAAAGAAAGAAAGAAGAAAGAGGACTATTAATATTTTAAAGCATTTAAGAATATACAAACTCCATCTTAATGACTGAAGGAGAGCCAAAATGGCAAGCTTGAACTCAAGATTATTTTAATTACAGAACATTTTAGATCCAAATCTCTCTGGTGTACAGCAATCTAACAACTGTAAAAATGGTATCATGCAAATGTTTTTGACTAACTGTCACACAGCTGGACATAGGGCCCTATCACATGACATTGTTATAGTGCTATACTTAACTGCCACGTCTAACATTCGGTGAGATTCTGGTGTCTGGGTTTTGTGATGCACTAGAGCCCCTTTGGATGACAAGTTGTAATTGGTCCTCTCTAAACTACAAATCCCAGAGTTCCATATGAAGTTGCCATGGCAGTTAAAGTGGAATATAATAGTGTAGTGTGATTAGACTCAAAGTCTACATTTTCCACCCATGTAATATGCATTTAAACCAAATGTCAAGGATTTCCCTCTCCCTTTATGAGGTCTTTTATGTGTAGTATGTTGTGTGTAAGTGACAGCTGTTACTTGTTTCCATGTCATGAGAAATGGCCTATTTGTTCTTCTCAAACCAATGAAGTTATTTAATGCCTTTAAGTTCTGGTGATGTTGGCAGAAAATACTGTTCTCCTAAAAATACTCTTGTCAAGTACAGGTTATTGCCTATAAAGCAACTAAGCCCTATACGCTTCAGGTCCAACCTATCTTCGAGACCGCATATCTCCTTCTATGGTGGGAGCCTTGAGATCTGCTGGGGAGGCCCTTCTCTCGCTCCCACCACCGTCACAGGTGCTGTTGGTGGGGATGAGAGAGAGGTCCTTCTCGATGGTAGCTCCCCGGTTCTGGAATGCCCTCTCTAAGGTTAGATTAGCCCCAAATCTCCAAACCTTCAATTTGAACCTAAAAACATGGTTATTTACCCAGGCCTTTGACCTGGAGTAATGTACTATGGTCATGTGATGACATCAACCATTGCTATTTGGCACTTTAGTTCATGTTTGAAGAAACCCAGTGACCCACAGGTATGACTGTGTTTATATTTTTTTTTTAAAAATAATTTTATCAATTGGTGTTGTCCATGGTTTGTATTCAGTCAAATTGTGCATTGTTTTGATGATATGTAATTCTATTTTATGTGTGGCACTTTGAGTGCTTTGTCAGCCATCCCGAGTCCCTTCAGGGAGATGGTGGCGGGATACAAATAAAGTTTTATTTATTATTATTATTTGTCAAACTCTGAAAGCATTCCTTTCTCTTTTGCCATCAAGATAAGTAGTGCAAAAACAAGTGCATTCCTAGCCTTTTCCTTGTACCAATCAATTGTTGCCTTTGGAATGCAATCTCTTCTCTTTTTTTTCTAGGAATCATAGAGATGCACTTTCCTGTCAAAATACTCCAAATGTATGATAATTGAATCACTTTTCTATCTATTTCTAAGATGGAAGAAAGAGAGAATTCAGTTCTAGTTCAATTTCAAGATAGCAAAAATTTTATGTTCTGTTCTGTTTCACTGAAAATAACCCTTGATTGGGTTTGCTGGAAATCAGGCTAGGAAAACAGCTTCAGAAAAAAGGTTCAAAGAAATACTGGTTTTAATGTGCTCAAAACAAAATCCCTACTCGGGATGGCAGTATCTTTCCCGTGTCAAATAAACCCAAGAGATTACACTTTGTACATTAAAAAACTGAACGCTAGCCATCAAAGAATTAATTAATGATACTCACTTCATCTTTGAACACCTTGCCATGTTCCTCGCAGCCAGGCAAACTTCGTATGAACTCTGAAACCTGTTAATCAATTTTGACAATTTTTTTTTAAAAAAGCACAACTGACACAATTCTGCAATCCATTTTGCTCAGGATTTTCCTGAGACTAAGACAAAATGAATAAATTACCAGATATTTACCAGAAATGGCAACTATACTATACCACGAGATAAGCAAACTCATCTAAAGCTCAACACAGATTAATTCTCATGTTTTATTCCATCTTAAATCAGAAGTATCTTTCTCATTCTTTCCATATGGATTGACCTTCCATCCATGGAATTTTATTTGAGAAAAGCAGGTTGACTGTAGAGGCAGCTACCTCTACACTATTGGTGAGACACACTCAACCCCTGGAGAGAAAGAATACAGGCCTTTACATTGGGATTTAGTAACTTCAAGTTTGTTGCCCCTAAGCATTGTGGCAGGCTGAGGAGAAACATGCCTAACATTTCCATTTGTCATACATAATGTCATAAAAAAGACATCACTTTGATTTATGACAGCATTCAACTTTTAAAAAATAACTTGTATTTCTGTCTAGTTGGAACTTAATTATACTTTGTACCAATTTATTCCTTCTGACACTGAAGTCAGATCCATTTATTTGCAGGTTCCAGAATTTGGACTGGGTTGTAACTTTTCTGATGATCAACCAGAAGCCACAATCTCGCATGTGTGTACAGATCCAGTGGTTTTGTAAAGCAATTTCCCGTTAGTTGGTCACTGAGAATTTCATATATTCAAGTATTCCTTCTGTACTTAGGATAAATGCATGCAATGGGGAATCAAGACTGCACGGTCTACTCAGCTACCTGCTACCATCCAGAGCAAAACTTATAAAACAGAATATGTAACACTGCCTAAACAGGATCCTGACAAAACCCTATAGCAGTTGCTACATCTGTCTTTCTCAATATGCCCCATCACAAGAATAGGGGTAGACACATCATAACTCTCTCTTCAATAGCTAGAAAATGCTGTGCTGAGAGGTGAATTTCTGTAAGGATTTTGGAGGGAAACACTGGAAGATATAATTTTTATTCCTCCTAATGCAAGACTTTGGCCAATATCAAACATGGACATTAGCAAATAGCAATGAAAACATGCAAGAACAATTCATCAACATAATTAATTAGTAGAATCCAATTGTAGACTTTTTGTTTTTTGAACAGTGTCCAACAGAAGTAAGAACGGGCAATTTTCTCTTTCTACTACATTCAACATCTCTGAAACCTGTTCTGGAAAGTTGGGAAACCTTTGCAACCTGTATTCAGGGATCTATAAGGACTTTATGGAGAAGAGAGACATGCTGATGCTGTAGGGTCAGCACAACATTGAGTTCAGGCCATTCTACATGTTACATATTAATGGAAGTATGTCTAAAAAGGCTGAATGTTTTTTGCAGCCTAGTTCTGTTCACAAAACACACCTCATCTGTGCTCCACGTGGAAACTTTACTGGCAGGAATTCCAGCCACAGATGGAAGAAGCTTGCTCTGTTGTTCCCAACGCAAAGAAAAGGATGAGTTTGTCAACTTGGAAGACAAAATTACTGCTTGAGAATGGGAACCTCTGTTATTGAAATTCTTGGCATCTGTAAACAAAAACAATCCCAAAATAAACAAATTTTAAATGCCGTACAGAAATATTGCTGGCCACACCTGTAAAACAAGTTTGTACTTTCAGTTTAGCATGATTAGCTTCTGCAATTTTTTTAGCCAATAGTGCCCATTTAAGGAAGCCAAACATCCACACTCTCTAGTTTTTCTTTCTTCTATACAGAATTTATTTCTAATTAATTGTAATCCATTTATATCCCACCCTTTATTTCATTACTGAACTCAAGGTGGCAAAACATTTGGTGACTGTAGACTATTAATGTTTGACAAATCACCCATAACTTGTGTATTTTATTATATCGTGATTTGTAAACTACCATTACAATGTATTGCAATGTATGAATAATTATACTTTTCATATTTTGATATTTATTTATTATATTTATTTTTACCCTGCTTTATCTCCCCAAAGGGGACTCAAAGCAGCTTGACATAAAAGCATTAGTATACAATTTAAAATATATAAATATACAAACATTAAAACAGAATCAAACACAAACAACACTTAAAAATTCAGTTAAAATCCATCAAAACATATTCAAAGTTGAAATAAGTGGAAGAAAGGCACCAAATATTAGACCAACTGCTTGTTGCAACTAGAGTACAGTGGGTACTTGGTGTCCACTGGGGTTTGGTTTCAGGACCCACAGTGGATAGCAAAATCTATGGATACGCAAAGCCCATTATATTCAGTGGTGTAGTGAAATTATGTCCCTTATCTAAAATGACAAAAACTTAAATGAGTGCTGGAGAGAGTTTGTGAAATAGCGGAAGGCTACAGCATGGTATGTCTACACATTGGTGTAGTGCTTGGCATACACCAAAATCAAGTTTTGCTTTTTAGATCCTCCAGTGGTTCGATCCCCAAATACTTTGGGCCGTGGTTGGTTGATTCTATGGATACAGAACCTGTAGATATTGACAGCCGGCTACAAACCTACTGAATCAACAAAACTGAAGCGGTTCAACAGATCTACTCTACTATTTGGGACCAATAACTGGATTTGGGTTGGGTTTCTATGTTTTTCTCGATGTACACAGCCACACTGAAGTACTGAAGTTAGCCATTTCTGCGTTATTCTAGGACTGCAATGTATGTGCTTAATTCAGGTAGCCTCTGACTGACTGTACCTACTAATGAGAGATTTTCTAAATGTTAGTTAAAACCCAGATTTTTTAGGTCCTCCCCCACAAAAAACCCCCACCAAACAAAACATAGCTACCTTTGGTTTCATTTAGAGATGGCTCTTCACTTTCCATCTTTCTTCTTTCATATCCATCTTTCCTAGCAAATTGCTTAGTTGTTGGGCTTCCCCTAAAAGAATACAGGAGTTTCACATTTTAATTAATTAAATAACAATTTTTCTTCTTTATTTCCAGTATTTCTATCCTGTCCTTCTTAACCCCCTGAGGGGGACTTAGGACAGCTTACAGTTGGCAACAATTTGATGCCACTTGATAATAATGTGAATACAAAATCTTTCCTATTATTTCTCATATAACTATTCTATTTTAGAGGTACCCTCAACAGGTTGCTTTCATCCCTCAAAGAAATGTATAGAACCCCTATCATGCTACAAACATACAAATAGTTGCTGAACTGTTTTTAGGGCTAGAAAACAAGGCTCTATGTTTGCTATGGCTGCTAAATGTCACAGTACCATTCTTTTTCAAAGTCATGTAATTAAACAAATACAAGTGCACAGTGCATAATCTGCCATGCTCCATCACTTACAGTATCTGCCTACACACCATGCTATCCACCTATTTATCTAAGAGGAGAAAACTCTGATGATATTGGTCTGTGATTGTTCAAACACTTCTCCAAAGTGAACTCAAAGAAAAGAGTGTCTAGAGACTAGAATTGCTGCCACTTGCTGCCATCAATCATGATTCCCTTTATTTTCAGTGCTTCCTTAAGATTCTGATATATGTCCCCTACAAAGCCAAACAAGCAAAGAAACAAATGCATTGGTACACAACCTAAAAGGAAAATGACCCACTGGGAGCTCTGTGTCCTTCACGTATACTACAGAAAAGCATTAAGTAAATGCACAGAGAGAGCAGAAATTGCCTAATCCATCTCAATGGCAGGGAAGGCAGTCTTACTGCTACTGGTGTCAGACTAATGATATCAAGGCTGTTCATCAATCTTGCTTATGTGAGATTCACAATGAATAGGGAAAAGGATGAACTCAACAAAATGGGACAGAGCTGGGAGTATTTTCAGTACTTGATGCTATTCATTTCACCAACACTTTCATCAAGTTTCACTCTGTCATTTAAAGATTTATATCCTTGGGAAAAATATTGTGTTCCACCCTGTTACTGAAAAGCTACTAAGAAAGTATTATCATGATGAGGAACTAAAGTGAGGCCCACAATACATCTGGCCAAAGATCTGGCACTCCTCTGATTATACAACAGGAACCTAAATGGGATAAGCCAAAGCAGCTTAAGGAATAGATGAAAGAAAGAGGACTACATACTGAACTATCTGTCAGAATTAGAATAATGCTGCCCTTTCCCCTCTCTGCTTACGCAGAAAACTCACTTCCCTCTTACAGACCTTGTCCACCATGGTCATTTAGTGGCCAGGAGAGTGGGGTTGACCTTCAAACATGCACCCAGCTATGTCCTTACAGATGGATACTTCATAATGAAAGCATCCTCCAGGATCCCACATCCCCACCCCAGGAATCCCAACAGTCCTGAAGGATGATTATTGTGTGCTTGGCTACAGGAACATATCTGGATGCTCACTGGGTGCCCCCAACATCCCTGGGTGAAGAAATTACCATGTTGGGGGGAGCCTACAGAACAAAGATTAGTCTCAATGTAGGGCAGTGGTCCCCAGGTGTTTTGGCCTACAACTCTCAGAAATCCCAGCCGGTTTACCAGGTGTTAGGATTTCTGGGAGTTGAAAGCCAAAACAACTGGGGACCCACAGGTTGAGTACTACTGATGTAGGGTGTTTCTTGCATGGTGGAGACATAGATTACCTCCTCCCACCATGACTACAAATGACTATATACAGTTCTAAGGTGTATTTATACCTATGTGTATTACTAACAGAATGCCAGTCAAAGGCCAGACTCTCATTAGTGATATAAGCTCATATATGTCTCCTTTTGGATTGAGCCCAAAATGGTACTCTAGCCCTCTGCACATCATCCAAAACTTTGCTCCACTGCAGCTGTGAATTCTTGCTGCTTTTTACTGTTGGGGAAGGAGAGAGAATGGAAGCTCATCCAATGTTGCTCATGAGGAACAATAAGGTGCACTCCATTAGTGAGCTCCTCCCATTTCCTTCCCCCAATGAGCTGAGACAAGCTGATTTTTCATTATTTGGTTTCCCTTCTTACTTCCTCATCTTTTATGTTGTAAGCAGCAGCTGCTGCTGCCATCCTTCCTTGGGCTTGACAACTGTAAAAGTGGGATAAGTGGATGAGGCCGTCAGACAGAGTTAGAGGACAGTCCCTTGTGCCCCATTAAAGGGAGGTAGACACTCTGCAGGTAGAACATTACACTTTAGGGAAACTAGCATGTCTCCCACCTCGGTATCTTTCTGTCAACAGCCAAAGAATTTGTCTCATGGAAAACACTAAATAAGCCACTACGATAAAGCCTACCAAAGGAAAGAATGAAAATGGGGAAGAAATTTAACTTTATAATGGGGCCTAAAAATACATGATCTTGGAGGAGTGTATGGAAAACGCCAGCTCTTCAGCTTAGAAATGGAGATGAGCATTACCCCCCCAGAGTTGGACACGACTAGACTAAATGTCAGGGGAAGTCTTAACCTTTACTTCTTAAGTGATTCTTAATTAAATAAGAAGTTGCAACCATTCAAACACTACTGTAAGATACCAAATGCATGAAATTAACTTTCCCAATCATTGGAATGCATGGCAAACAAATGGTGATCTATGTAGAGATTATTCATGTTATCAACATTTGCCACTTTTGGGGAAACTTTGGCTCACTTCATCAGATGCAGAAGAGTTATCTCAGAATGGGACATTTACTTGAAAAGTAAATGGAGAAATGCTAAAAAAAATAATCAGAGTTTCTCAAACTCAATTCCTAACAGCTGGTTAACTGGCTAGGATTTCTGGGAGCTGAAGTCCAAAAGACCTGGAGGAGCACAGTTTGAGAAACACTAGATTAAATCAACTAACACAGACTGTAAATTACCTTAAGGCAGGGATCCTCAAACTTTTTAAACAATGGGCCAGGTCAATCCCTCAAACTGTTGGAGGGCTGGATTATAATTTGAAAAAAAAAAACATGAATTCCTATGCACACTGCACATATCTTTTTGCAATGCAAAAAACACTTAAAAACAATACAACAATTAAAATGAAGAACAATTTTAACCAATATAAACTTATTAGCATTTTAATGGGAAGTGTAGGCCTGCTTTTGGCTGATGAGATAGGATTGTTGTTGCTTTAAAGTCGTTTCAGACTCAGGTTGACTCTAAACGAGGGCCAGGCAAAAAACCTTGGAGGGCCGTATTCAGCCCTCGGGCCTTAGTTTGAATACCCCTGCCTTAAAGCAACTGAACAGAGAAGAATAACGTAACATCACTCAACAGACCATCAATACATTTACTGCAGTTTGTGCAAGGAAAATGCTGATTTTTTAAAAATTACACTACATGGATTAGTCAGCTCAATACTACAATAATGTCTTTGTTGAAACAGAACAACCATTAAGGTTCTGACACATTTAAAATAATTGTTACAGCCTGTACCTTTTCCCATTGCAATTGTGATTTCTTTCCACCTCAGTTTACAATCCCCATCCACCCAAGCATCTGTATATAAATCTGCCAACCTGAGATGACTTTTCATTCATACAATGAAGCAGCACACAAGAAAAAACCATGCTGAATCAAAGACCTACTTTAATCCAGAATTCTTGACAAATAACTACACTTTGAACACTATTGATTAGAAACACTGCAAAACACTGAGAAAATCTATCCTCCTTCCAGAGGATTGCAACATATTATTTACATGGGCCTTCAGGGAATTTAAGCAAAGGATGAAGAGTGCATCATTTATATGGCATAATGAATGTAACATTTAAGGGGCCTGAACAAAATACTTAATTCGGAGAAACAAAAGACTTTTCACTGTTTCTCAAACTGTGGGAGCTGATGTCCTTCAACAGCAGCAGCAGCAGCAGCAGCAGCAGCAGCAACAACAACAACAACAACAACAACAACAACAACAACAACAACAACAACAACAACTTTATTTATATTCTGCCCTATCTCCCCGGAGGGACTCAGGGCGGATTCCAAACATAAAAGGCAAACATTCAATGCCTGAATACAACAATAATACATCCATAGTAACAAAATTTAACAACCCAACATATAAACACAACTAAAAATTAAATAAAATGCATCTAGTTATAGCAGACATAAGACAAAACATCAAATATCAAACAAAAGCAACAATTTCCTAGTTACTTGGGAGAAAATAGATTGATCATTGCTCAAGATATTTATTGAGCTGGTGGGGTGAACGGCACAGATACGGATGGTAGCTATTAATCTGAGGTATAATGGTAGTATTACCAACAATTCCTCCCCCTCTTTCTTGAAAGTGGGGAGGGAGGGGCCATCTTTAACTCCTGAGGAAGGGAGTTCCAGAGGTGGGGGGGGGGGCAGCCACAGAGAAGGCTCGTTCCCACCAGCCGTGCTTCAGACAGGGGTGAGACCAAGAGGAGGGCCTCCTCTGATGACCGCAGTGTCCGAATTGGTCTATAGTGGGAGATGCAGTTTGTCAAATAGTTCAAAACATTTGGAGCAGCACAGTTTGAGAAACCAAAGTTATAAAGATTAGAACAAGAATATTCTACGTTTTAACATATATGAAACATTACCTGTAGTTCTTTTCTTTGGCATCACATATTAGCGGCTTTTTGCAAATAAGGTTCCCATCTGTGTCTTCTTTTTTTGATGAATGGAGATGAGCTGAAGATTTTGGGCCAATGGGACTAGGACAATTTGTATTACTGTTCAAAAATAACATGACAAATATTTTGTCTTATTTTAACATTAAAACCAACTATTGTACAGAAGAACTCTGAGGAAAATGTTGTGTAGTGTTTATTTTTTACTATCCTTAGAGAACAAGAGCTTTTAACTCTTTAGAAAACACTGTTCTGTTTAATTAGCACAAATCCAGACATTTCTTTTGGAAATTATTAACTCAACGAATTCAGACAATTCAGAACGTTGGGTGTAAATTACAATTGCGGCATGTGTCTCAATTGTGACTAAGCATATGAATCAGTTACCTAATCATAACTTTTTTGTATTCACAATCACTAGTCAGTCACAATTTTGATACTATTGTTGCATTGCTAACTCACCAATTTACCAGACATCCAAAGCATAGGGAGTAGAATGATCAGATATTTCTATGTAGAGGTTGGGCCAGAAGTTACTTAGTTAAGTATGATAAGCTAATACAGGATTTTGCTCCCATTTGCTAGAAAGGAGTCTTCTTGACTACAAGATCTACTCTTTATTCCCTTTGGAATAATTAGCCTGTCATCCACATCTTTAGTATAAATGGAGGATTAGACTAGTAGACACAGAGAGATAAAGAATTGTTGTCATAATGTGCCTTCACATGATTTCTGACTTATAGCAATTGTATCATATATATTTTTCTTGGCAAGATTTATCAATAAGAGGTTTGCCATTGCCTTCCTGAGAGAATGTGATCTACCCAAAGACAGCCAGTAGGTTTCCATGACTGAGTGGGGATTCAAATCCTGGTTTCCCATTGTCCTTGTCTAACACTCCAACCATTCCTTGTGTTCCCATTCCTTCTAGGAGTACTTGTAACTTAGATATGGCTGCCTTGGGCAGTTTGTGAGGGTTGGTTAATGGTGGCTTTTATCCACCCTTCCCTAACCACCCTAGGTAGTGTCAACAAGGCAAGGTGATGTGTGCCTTCAAGTCATTTCTGAGTTATGGTGACCTAAGGCACCAGTCAGGAATTTGAACTGTGATTGGGGACTGGTCAAACACTCAACACACTGTACCACACTGGCTCTTTCTCCTAGTATGCTGGCTGGAAGAAAGTGGTAGATAGGAAGAAAAGAACAGAAGGGAATTTAGGAAAAACAGCTTCTTCCCAAGATGTAATTCTGTCAGAGGATACTCCAGTCACAAGTAGAGCTGCAATAAAACTACTAATTATACCTCCATTCAAAGAAACGTTTAAAAAAGGAGCAACTTTAGGTTAATTAATTTTAAATTGTAATGTAGACATGGTTTCTGTGGATTACAATGAAACCTTTCTGGAATGTGCATGCTTTCCATAGCAAACTAAGTTTAAGAAATTGGTCATTAAATGTTGATGTTTACAACTATTACACTAATCAAGTAAAAAGACCTCTTCTTTGCATATAATCAAGCATGCAACTATATAAAGAACATATTGGCTGGCTTTTCATGTAAAACTCATTTCAATCAACTGATCTCCTTATTTTTCACAAAGAATAATGACTATTTAAGGCTATTTCTAAAACTCTATCAGCTTTTGTTGATAAGGTTCTTCAGCAGTACAAAAAGGGAAGATGTTTTGCGAACTGAAGTATTCATTCTAAACAATAGATGATTTCTAAAAAGTACATGAATCATTGGTACACCTGTGGTTAGCAAAGGACATCTACATAGCTCATGATTCTGGGCAAGAAGCCCCATTGTTTAAGGGAGCTGAATGAATGGTAATTGTCAATTCCGCACATGTGCAACTGAAGGGATTTTGAAGTATCCCCATACAGAAAAGCACGTGCCATAGTTATAAGCTGCTCAAAAGAAAAGAAATCCTACTAGGTATTCCCAAATCCTTGGCTGCACATGCTCAAAATATCTCTCTATGTCCAGTCATTTGCCATTAATTCAAAAGAGCTTGAAAGTAAGTGTATTAAATTCTAAAGAATGAAATACATTTTAAGAACAAGAATACACAAATTAAAAACAAAATCAATCATAGTCCCCTTAAATGCACAATACCCTCAACAGGCTTGCCCACTGATCCTTCAGGCACAACAAGCTGTATAATGATGCACATCTGTAATTCTGTTAGGGACATAATTACTTGATTAGAGGAGAAGCTGATGTTTCATTTCCTTCTGGCTTTCTGTTCCAATGTGTAGGTGGATTATTCAGAGGCATTTCTCCACTTAAACGGTCTGAAAAGATACGTTCTCTGTTCAGATTTATCTCAGAATATGGGCAGCTGACAGCACTGAAATAATGAAACAAGATATGATACAGAGAAAGAAAATAATAGATACTGAAAAAATGTCCTAGCCTGGCTAAACATGATAACAACAACAACAACAACAACTTTATTCTTATATCCTGCCACCATCTCCCCGAAGGGACTCATGGTGGCTTACATGGGGGCCAAGGCCAACAAAAACAGAATAAAATATAACACAATTAAAATACATTACATTTCAATATTTAAAACAGTAACACCGAACAATAGTCCAGTGCTTCTGATGAGAGACCAGCAATTATTTTCCCCCCATGGACTGGGGACTGGCCAATTGAGTACAACTGTTATTCTTGCTCTCCTGGAAACTGGTTGCCCGGTCCACCTCTGAGCACAATTCAAAGTGCTGATCTTGGTCTATAAAGCCCTATATGGTTCCGGCCCAGCTTACTTGTCCAAATGTATTTCCCTCTACGTCCCGCCTCACAATTTAAGATCATCCAGGGAGGCCCTGCTCTCGGTCCCGCCAGTCATGAAAATGTGTTTGTGGGGACAAGAGACAGGGCCTTCTTGGTGATGGCCTCCTGCCTGTGAAACTCACTTCCCAGAGAGATAAGCTTGACTCCATCCCTCCTGACTTTCAGGAAGAAATTGAAATCACCAGGCTTTTGGACAGCAGGCATAACAGCACTTTGGATATGGATCTGGACTGGAATGGTTATATGGCTGATAATAATGTTTTAAAACTGTTTTAATTAATGTTTTATCTATTGTTTTTAAATTGTTGATATGTTGTTGTATTTACTATATTTTGCGGCATCAAACTGTTGCCGAGTGTAAACCGTCCTGAGTCCCCCTCCGGGGGTTGAGAAGGACGGGATAGAAATGCTGGAAATTGCTAGAGATGGGCAGCCAATGGCGTAAGGACCTCACTTTGAGTAGCAATCAACCTGGAATTTGGTACTAACCATGAACACGCACAAGTAAAATTTTGTAGTAGCATTTTATTAATAGAACAGTGTCAACTAAATCTAAGTTCCTCACTGATCAAAGAAATTGGGATTCATAATATAAAAACAATTAGTTTACTTTGTTCTAATGTGGAAGAAATACAGTTGTCCTAAAAATGCTTAGTGTACAAATAGTTTCTTTAGTTCCATTGCTAAGAGAAATTACAAAGTGTATTCTGTGATAAAAGCCAAACTCCCCATTGTCAGCTATACAATAAGAACACTCCAAAAGTGCACTACAAAGTATGCCTTTTAGATAGTATGCCAACGGTAATGAAATTATATATTGCAACACACTACGGAAATAGCTCAGTGAATGAAGTAGATTCATTCCTAGGCTTTGTTTTTTTAAACAGAGGCAGAAATAACATAGGAAAATTTTCCTACCCACTAAAAAGGAGTTCAACGTGTTTAAAAAAGCTTTGTATTCAGAACTTAACATATGCTAGATAAGTAAAAACAGTTTGAACTTTCTATAGACCACTTGAAGGCTTTCCAAAATGCATCAAGAGAGCTCTGCCTTGCTTTTTTCTTTGATCATTCAGCACAGCGGTGCAGCACTCTAAAGCAATGAGCACAGCTCTCCTCACCATACAGCTTTCATCCGTCAGGATCCTTTTGTGCTCAAACCTTTTGTGCTCAAACAGGAAATCACCTGAATTTTATTTCACTAGCCTAAATTTGTCTGTATGATTTAAATTTTGGTGGCCAAACTTACAAATCTACACTGTTTTCCATATCTGCTGGAAAAAGCTTATCTGCTCTCCATGGCTCTATTTTGCCATCCGGTTCATGCCTTCAGGAAAGCACACACTGCTACAGTAGATTCCTGTTTTTTCACAGCTCACACAGGTATGTGTGGAGTAAACTGAGGTTTTGGGATGTCAAAAGCCTTGTTTACTACAGACACATTTGTTATGTAAAACCAGATGCTGAAAGTCACTTTCCTTGCGTGGGGAGATTGGGGCTGTCAAACACATTCCTACTGGGTTGTTAGTACAGCTGCTGCTTAGGAAAAAAGAAGAAGGAGCTCTTTCTTGCTAACAAGGTAGCACTGCTTTCCACCTGCAGCAAGTGTTCATTATTTTTCCTTAGCTTATGTTCCCCCTTATTGGCTTGCAGATGTTGCTCTCTAACATCCTTCCTGATGTTGCTATCAAACTACCAGTAAGATGGCAGACAAGGAGGACAAGATATATGCAGAACACGAAGGGTGGCTGTGAAGATGTGGGCCAGGTCCACATGGGCAGGTGCCACTGGCTGGCTTTTTTCTTCCCATTGAGCAAGAGCTCTGCTGTGAAGTCTTGGCTCTGCCTTCTCCTCTCCTCTGCTTTAGTTCCACCTGTTTTCCTATAGTGTAGTTACAGTTCTTTGTATTAGCATGTGGGTGGAGCATAAAACATCCCTCAGAGGCCTGACTCAGTTGGTTTATTTCATTTCCTGTACAGAGCTCCCTTGCTGGACTTTTTTTTTTTTTTAGTGAAGAGGCCTGGACATTGTCTGGAAATCCTAGGCCTAGCAATCCAACAGGCATTTTTAGCACTACTCCTATTACTGCTACTGCTGTTGCCTTTAGTAGCAGTATTTATACCAACAGTCCAAAGGACAACTGAAGCTTTTGGTTAGCCTAAGCATCCAGAAGAGAAGATTAAGGCAGTTTTTAACCATCGCTTTGGCACCAGAGTCAAAAGTGACTTTAAAGACCCCAGAAAGATGCCTACAAACAGCAAGTTCTCATATTGTAATGTATTGCTTTAAGTTATCCTATTGTTTTAAGTCCTGGGTGGAGTTAACCCTTTACTCATCTTGTTTCAGTAAACTCATTTGGTTATCCTTTCACCTTGCCTCAAAGTCCTCTGTCTGCTAAGGGTCTTAATCTTAACAGAAGGTATCGGATAGCCCCCTAATAAAGCCAGACAATATAGTTTTTCCCCAAAGGCTCGGGCATGCCATCACATCTGCTAATGCGATGCATTATTATTCTGTGCCCCAAACCCTTTCTAAAAAGGAGCAAAAAGTATTGTTAACTGAAGCACATCTGTAATTGTTGTAATTCAATATTCCTTATTTCCATAAAGCAGAATTCTTGCATTATGTGATGTTTCACTGCTTCCTCATGTTCACTGTAGAAAAGGATGAATCTATTTAGGAGAACAGTGGATTCTGCCCCACTGTGAGCACCTGCTCTTGTCCTACAGGATGCAGTTCAAAAACTCACAGAACTTTAGTTTGAGAAAAGGCAACCAACTCTATGTTTCACTCTGTGCAAAAAATATTTTAACTTTTTCTGTACTGCCCTTTCAGCAGCATTTTCAAGCATTAGGGTGTGATTGGCTGCCAAGGACGCTGCTCTTCTCTGTCTCACCTTTCATCCTGACAGCTATCCTGTTGTGGTATCAAGTTGAGCATGAGATTAAAAAGCAGAAGACATGCTCATGCTGCTTGCACAGTTATAGTGAAATAAGAGAAGGGAGAGTTGAACAGTCTAAAGGACTAGGGAACGTTTCCCTGCAAAAGTAAGTTACTTTATACTTTCAGTATTAACACTAGCTTTCATAGGACACTTCACTGGTGCAACGTTGGATGGAATCTGGCATCCTTGGAGGAACAGAAAACATTTTCTTGAAAGTATGTGATAGCATACATTAAAGAATGTATGTGGGAGGAGAAGGGGATGAAAGACGTTTTTTTAAAGTACAATAATTATTATAAATGAAAATAACTTAACTAGGAACTGAAATTGGCATCCTACTTCACATACTTCCCAGGTGCCACACAATTTATCTAAAATTACTTTTTTCAAATTTTGACAGGAACACAGATATATTACCATCAATGGAGTGCACAAAATGAAGTTCATAACCACTCTGCCAGACACAAGAGAAAAGTATATTAAAACGAGTCTCTTTTTTCTTGTCAATAGGCTGAACACCTGCTGTGAAATAGAATTATGTTTTTCCTTTTTATTTTATCTATTTTTTTGTCCATGGCCTGTCTTTCTATAATAAAATGTAAAGAAAAAAAATGTAAAGAAAAAAACCTGCTGTTTCTTTTTCAGAATTGTAGCTATCTTTTCATGTACCGTTCTACATTTATCAGTCATTGTGACTGATTGCTTTTAATAACACAAACCAAACTCTACTTTGAGAGAAGCATTAAGATACTAAAATAAATGACCAATGTAAGGAAGGCACTTTCTTCCTGACTTGTCAGCCCAGTCTACTTTACTTATCATATATACTCATGCCTAAGTTGAGAAATTATTTGATGAAAAATTATTCCCAAACAACCTGGGTCAATGTAAAATTTGAAAGTAGTGGCAAGAGGTGGAAACAAGAAGAACTTCCATCCCATTTTCTCTTCTCTTGTCCAAAATGGAGAAGAAAGACAGCCCTCCCTCCTTCACCTTGCTTTTTGGTTCATGCAACATTCATCAATGTTCAACAATCTGGGGAATGGGTTGTTGTATGTTTTTCGGGCTGTATGGCCATGTTCTTGAAGCATTCTCTCCTGACATTTCACCTGCATCTGTGGCAGAGGTTTTGAGGTCTGTTAGAAACTAGGAAAATTGGGTTTATATATCTGTGGAAAGTCCAGAGTGGGAGAAAGAACTGTTGTCTGTTGGAGGTAGGTGTGAATGTTTCAATTGGCCACCTTGATTAGTATTTGATGGCTTGACAGTTCTTAGGTGTGGCTTGTTACTGCCTGGGAGAATGTTTTGTTGAGGGGTGATTAGGTGTTACTGATTGTTTCTTGTCTGAAATTCCCCTGTGCTTAAGTTTAGTTGTTAGCAAAAAAAAATTGGCTGCACAGTTACAAACCCATATTGGTCTCACTACATCAAGGACTCAGTTAACTATTAGAGTTAACAAATGACGTTCTCCTGTTTTTCATTATCTTCTTGTACTAAACAGATATGCCCATTATTGCCATTTGTATACAGTATGTTATTTCATTAGAACTCTTGATTCCAGTATTAAAAGACAACCCAGATATAATGGGGCAAAAATTTGGCAGAGATAATATCTAATTTACTGCAGTATCTAATTTCGTTAAATACTATTGCAACTAGGATTAGCATATAATATAATATTAGCTCAGTGACACAAAGAAAATTAATCAGACTTTTGAAATTAAAACAATTAAAATGTTAAGTACTCTGGATTTCAAATTTGTAAGAATTTGAATAATATTTTACCCTGTAACTAAAATCTAATAATTAGGGGGATTAAATGTGATATAAGTAAGTGAAATAAATTAACATGATATATTAAGTAGAATACATTAAACTCATCTGTCATCCAAGCTGAAGACAGCAGCTGTGGATCTCTGCACTGGAACGAGATGGGATAAGGTGACTCTTAGAATTCTTCCCAACTCTATTATTCTAAGAACTTATTAGGTAACGTATCCTTTAATTAATAACATTGCTATAGATTTGAAATAATTAAGGGCTGAATCTTTCTCTCCACTAACCTAGTCAATTCTTCTCTCTACTAACCCAGGACTTTTCATCTTGTATTAAATAAAGATGTCCACTATCTCCAGTCCTATACATTATTTCTTGATTCCAGAATTAAGAGATAACTCAGACGAAATGGGGGCAAATAATTGAGCCACCATCATGTTCTCTAATTTTTACACAAATCTTGACCAGAGTTAACCCCAAGCTTCTCGCACTCTGGAAACAAGCACACTTCGCTGTGCTTTCTTCCCTTGTTGGTGAGCCCTGGCAAGTTTATGTGGCAGCATTTTAAATTTTTCCTCATTCAAAAAGTGTTAGTGTGCTAGGGGAATTGTGGGAAATGAAATGGTGGCTAGAGTCTGCTTCCTGGTGCTGTTTAGGTGACTGAGCTGAAGAAAAAGAAAGCTGAGGAGACACAATGCAGATGACAAGAGTGCCATGCCAGAGGTCTATGTTATCTCGGTCCTTAGCTTCAGCCTATGACATGAGACAACTTCAACAACTTCTCAAATATCATAATCCATAATGTTGTGGTGCCAATGCAAATATGTTGTGCTGGCAGTTCTGACAAACTAAGCTGCAGTTTTTTGAGTTACACATTGTAGTCAGCATCCAACTAGACACCTGCATTATTGGAAGAAGCCTGTCTAGAGGGAGACAATTTTTTCCTCTCCAAACAGTTCTTGCACATTAACAATAGGATGCTCCCCTTCTTTCCTTCCTTTCTTCCTACTTTTTAGCTCCATGCAAAACATTGCTCTGGTGCAGGCATGGGCAAACTTCGGCCCTCCAGGTGTTTTGGACTTCAATTCCCACAATTCGGAATGGTGGGAGTTGGAGTCCAAAAACACCTGGAGGGCCGAAGTTTGCTCATGCCTGCTTTGGAGAGTTCCTCATTTTCCTGGAACAGATACTGAGACTGGCAGGGCCTTTCCCTAGATATGCTGACAGACCTCTTTCATTAGTGAGAGCACTGAAGCGGATCCTAGGATGTAATTCTAACAGCGCAATCTTATACTTATTTACATAGAAGTAAACACAGCATTTAAAGATGCTCCTGGTTTAGAAACAAAGGCTGAAAGGATTAAGTGGTACAATCTGTATCAAAATTACAATATATGCTACACAAAAAAGGATTCAACCAATTAAAAAAGAAACAACTGCATCCATACACAACTTGTGTTCATTTGAATAAGTTCCACACAGAAAAGAAATCCCCAGTGGAGTGTGAAGTTTTATTCACATTCTGTCTTAATATTTCAACACTTGCAACTTAACTTTGCCCCACTTTTTCGTGAAACATCACACAAAAGCACAGTATAGAAAAGGATGGCGTATGGATCTTTGAGTGCAAAAAGGTGCTACAGTTAGAAAGTCAACTTTTTATAATACCCAGAACACTATTTCTTACATAAGTGCACAAGACACTGAGCAATTCATTTGTATCTCAGTCTGAAACACCTTTCTGCCACTGCAGAATCCTGAAGCCTTAAGATTTACATTTTAAAAGATGCTCATTTTAACCCTGTCATAATTAATCAGTGCAGGTTTCATTCAGCTCAAACAATATGCCAACACAAAATGACCAAGCTACCTGCTCTCAGACATTTTTTTTCTAACAAGCTAAATGCACTGTCAAAATAAAATTCCCCAAACCACATTTAAGTACAATTTCAGCTGAGATGAAATAATCAATGGACTGCAACCTGACATAGATAATTACAAGAAGTCCCCGAGTTACAAACACCTGAGTTATAAATGACTCATAGTTAAGAATGGGGGTGAGACAACAAGAAATGAGAAAAAATTATCCCTCAGCAGGGAAATTCACTCCTGAAGGAGTTATCATGGAGAAAAGGTATCTGCACTGAAGTTTTATCACCAATCCTTGTTTCCATAACAAATCAGTTTTTTCAAAATCCAATGATCACCGGGACAGAAACTCCGGTGAAATCTCCTGAACAAGGGCACAAACAGCAAAACACCACAGGGCTGTTAACCCTCCCAAAGTGATTTATATTGGAGCACATGAAAAGTATTATCGAGTATGGCATTCTGTTTCTCCAATGGCAAACCAGATGTTCAAGAGGAAGGCAACAAGGACATGAAGAGAATATTACCTTTTGCACATGATTACCAACTAAATTCACAAAATTTGGCATGTAAACTTCCTCTCAAAATACATATTGATATGTTTCAACCTGAACTATCCCTTAAGTAAAATGTCAATTGTCAGAATTTATCAAGAGATTTTTTTTCCATGTCAGGAGCAATTTGCAAAACTGCAAGTTGCTTCTACTGTGAGAGAATTGGCTATCTGCAAGGACATTGCCCAGGGGATGCCCGGATGTTTTACCATCCTGTGTGAGGCTTCTCTCATGTCCTCATATGGGAAGCTGGAGCTGACAGACGGAAACTCACCCCACTCTCCGGATTCGAACTGCCGACCTTTTGGTCAGCAGTCCTGCCGGCACAAGGGTTTAACCCTTTGCTCCAACGGGGGCTCCATGAAGAGATAACAATAAAGACTATTCTTAATAAGTAAATTACTATTTTTGTAGATTTCTGCTAGGCTTATTTTTGCTAGGCTTATTAAGAACAATCTATATCAAGAGATAATAATGATTATTCTTAATAAGCCTAGCCAAAATCTACAAAAATTAGTACTCTACAGTAAAGATTAAACAGAGGCAATTCAATAACTGGTCAGTTGGGAGCAATTTTTGTTTGTTATATGTGACTCCATATAAAGATGGAGGCTACAGCAGATGAGAGCCTCTACTTCCATTTCTGTGAGGCAGGACAAGTTTTATTAAACTGCCAACACCCATATGATTAATAATACCTCCAAGCGTGTAGATATGAGATCAGGTCTGCATTTGTGGAGAAGGATAATTCCTACGTGTACTTGATAAAGAAATTAGTCATGAAGGCTGAAGGGAGAATAAAACTGTAAACACTGTAGAGTAACAGAGGGTGTGTTTTTAATAGCTTTCTGTATCTGGGATTTTGTTGTTCACAGGCATTTTTAGAAAGAGGATGGAGAAAGCTTGCTACAGTGACCTTAGTAAAAAGATATATACATTGGGTTGCTATGAGTTTTCCAGGCTGCATGGCCCTATTCCAAAAGCATTCTCACCTGACGTTTTGCCCACATGTATGGCAGGCATCCTCAGAGGTTGTGAGGTCTGTTGGAAACTAGGCAAATGAGGTTAATATATCTGTGGAATGTCCAGGGTGGGAGAAAGAACTCGTTTGTTTGAGGCAAGTGTGAATGTTGAAATTGGCCACCTTGATTAGCACTGAACAACCTTGCAGCTTCAAGGCCTGGTTGCTTCCTGTCAAGGAGAATCCTTTGTTGGGAGGTGTTAGCTGGCCTTGATTGTTTCTTGTCTGGAATTCCCCTGTTTTCTGAGTACTGTTCTTTATTTACTGTCCTGATTTTAGTGGTTTTTAAAATACTGGTAGCCAGATTTTGTTCATTTTATGGTTTCCTCCTTTTTATTGAAGTTGTCCACATGCTTGTGGGTTTCAATGGTTTCTCTGTATAGTATGACATGGTGGTTGTTAGAGTGGTACAGCATTTCTGTGTTCTCAAACAATATACATTGTTTAGAATGTTTTGTGCAACTAAAATTCAAGGACAAATGAACTACATTGGCATTAGGAGATATACTCGTGGTTCCCAATCTGTGGCTTGTGGACTACCAGTGGTCCGCAAGAACTCACTACATTACTACACCGTTTCAACAAGAGTGATTGGTCTTGCAAAACCCTCTTATGGTGCCAAGGCTTATTAAATAAGGTTTTCTATGGGCGAGCAGATGTTGACTAATGGATGGCATATGTTCTGTATCAGAAACTAAAGCTGATGTGCTCTATCCATGCAGTTTTCTGAATCAGCACCCCAAATAGCCAAACCAAATCTAAAGTTGTCTAAAAACTGATTTGTAACCCTGGTACTAATGTTGGAGAGTGGTCCCTGGCCAAAGTGGTCCCTGGTCAACAAAAGGTTGGGAACCACTGAGATATACACATACATACACACATTGTCTAGAATTGAGTTGCGCAAGTAACCTTTAAAGCTAATCACACCACGGAAGCTACAGATAGTTTGTTTTGTTTGAAGTGCTCACCCCCTAAATATTTTGGTATCCCATTTTTTTTGCTTCCTCACAGCAGCCTCTTTTCTTAGAAGTATCAATTAAATGAAGTCAATGTGGCAGTCTAACTGGGCAATACATACCTGTGGTGGCCCATATGTCTGGCTCTTTTTATATGTCCAATTCCTTTGCAACCTGCTGTTGGGCATATTCCTTGTTCTAAAGCTTCTACTAATTCCAAGGGACCTGTTCAAATAAAATGAGAGGTAAAACATATAGCTATTTTTACATTATTGAGAACAGAAGATATATGTGTCACGCTGAGTCAAACAAAAATAAAATGGTAGTCGTATCAGACCTATTATCTATTTCTGAGCAACTGAGATCAAGTATACTTACATACTAAGAAGTGTTTTTTTCTTCAGCAAATGCATATCCATTAAATTGTAATGACTTATATTATTTTGTACCGTAGTCTTTTGGTATTTAGGAATCTAGATGGAGTTCTCTTCAGAGGCTATTAAATGTTTATCACTTCTTCTAATTTCTGTTCTTGATATTTTTTTCTATTTTGCATATCCAAAACATACACATTCACATGGACATAGATCTAGGTGGCGGCTATTTGAGACTACTTATGATTGCCAACGTTTCTCAACAAGCTCTTCAGAGAGGCTGCAAACATTCACTCTATGAACTAGTAGCCAATACGGATCTGCTGTGCCACATCATCCAGTCAATGCAGAGACATCATCTAACAAAAATGCAATTTATTATTTTCTTCTTCTATTTTTTTTTTACTATGTAATGGTGCATCTTACTGAGAGGGGGCTGAAGAGGATGTCCAGTTTTTCCGCACCAGCCTGCAGGATGGATATCAGGGCTGTCGGCATCAATCCAGTAGTCATAAATACTATCCCAGCCATCGAAGTGAATCTAGAGCAGAAAGAAATAGCATGCTAAGTGTTATTTCCATGTTATGTCTAAGAGTCTCTGCTTTAGTTAGGAGAGCGGGAGATAAAAAGCTGATGGAAAAGGAGCAGGGGGCTAATGGTACTAATAAAAAAGAATGTGGACTCCTGCTTAGTTGGACCGGCATGCAGGATAAAACTCATTGTGCTATCTCAACTAAGCATAAACACCAAATGATGCAAACTGAGCTGGAAGCTCCATCTGTGATAATTACAACTCCTCTTATGCTATCTTTATTGAAATAAAAAAATCAAATTTATACTAATGAAAACTAATTAATTAAAGCCTTCATTCATATGCACACACTGAATCCAGAAAAGTTCCTGAGCAACTAGACCTCAGAATTTATATGGCAGTGGTTCTCAACCTGTGGGTCTCCAGATGTTTTGGCCTTCAACTCTCAGAAATCCTAACAGCTGGTAAACTGGCTGGGATTTTTGGGAGTTGTAGGCCAAAATACCTGGGGACCCACAGGCTGAGAACCACTGCCTAATGGGAAAAGATGCTCAACTTTTTATATAAGTGGACATATGCTCTTAAAGGTTATAATAACTTCTCTGAAATGGGTGATCGGAAGATTACAATATAAATATCTCAAAAACAAAGTATCAAATATTTTGATCCTGAAAGTGCTGTATTGTGCGTGCTACACAACTATTAACCACCTAGTAAATACTCTGTAAGCTAAAGAGCTTTGTAATCAATAGGTGGAATATGAAAAGATAATTTTTCATTACTTGAGGCACCTAGATCTGAATTTCAAAATCTCTTCTTACTCCTGAAGGCTTGTCACCATATGGGGCAATGCAAAGGCTGGAGACTGCTACCTCTACCTCTCAGCAGTGGTAGAAAGGGGGCACTTTATCGCAGTATCAGAGGTTTTAACCCTTTCTCTATGGAAACTGATATGGGAGAAGGAAGGCAAGACAAGTGAATGTGTGTGTGTATTTGTAGGAAAAGAGACAAGGATGCATGTTTGTGCACAGACATGAAAAAGAGAAACAGAAAGTGTCAGTACATGTAGCCTACAGATTTGCCTGCTCCCTCCCTGATATGAAGCCATGCATTGAATAAGCAACAACTGCTGACAAAGTTCCCCTTGATGACATAAAACTGCTGTAGCTCTGGTTTCAGTTTATTAAATAATATGCTAATTCTCAGTGTCTTCAATCAAAGCACAGCTGGAGATTACAGTAGAAAGACAGAATCTGAGCTGACAGTTACCATATCAGTTGAAAGATTGTAATGGACACAGAGACAACAACTTATGTTTGGATTAACTAGGAGATAAAAAATAAAGTTCCCAAGAAAGAGTAGAGCCCCAACTGCGCTTCCTGTGATTTGTCCTGCTTTACAGATAAGAACAGTCTTGTGATAAAATAGATTTTCTTTCCATTGCAAGCATATTCATTATTATAATAAACGAAGAAAACCGTGCCTAGTAGAATTCCTTGGTAGAACTATTTTTGCCCATTCCAAGTGAAGCATTATATATAAAAACATTGCCTCTTAGTCATGATTTCAAAGAAGTTTATAAAAAAAATAAAACACACAACTCCAAACATAAAACAAGCAAGTGTGAAGTACTATTAAAACCTGAGAGGTGAAAAGACTTAATGTTGTAAAATACTTTAAAATACCTTATGTGCTTCCTAGCTTCAGATTTAGTATTTATCAGTATTTAGAGGAAGATAATGTGGGTCCACCTTAAAAGACTAACATTACTATTTCTCAGCTAACAGAATGGAACTGAATTTAGAAGTGCATCTTAATTTAACACTATTTAATCCACATGGCATGACATTTTAGGTAGATTTTATCTTTTCAAAGGACTGTGTACCAGAAAAGTTCATGTATGATCAAGGACTCTTGTGCTTGCAGGTTTGTTCATTCAATTTAACAGAAGGGTAGTGGTTCGGTATATATCGATTCCTGTTTTAAAAGGCAGATAAAGAAGAAAAAGCAAATCTCAATTACTTTAATTCTGTGGTCATCAGTATCTACTATGGTGGCTACCCTGATTAATACAGGATTCCTCTTGTCAACTACTTCAAGTTTCATATTCTTCTGAAATCCATGACATGGTTTCTACAACAGAAAAATATAATTTTAGTTTGTTTTATGGTTTTGGATACCACCTTTCTCCTCAGAAGCGACTAAGAAAACACAATGAAAATAACACATACTCTACCCTATGCACACCAGTGTTTTTTTCCCCACAAACAGCATATGGGTTTCCCTAATGCTGTAAAGCAGGCCTGCACAACCTGCAGCCTTCCAGGTGTTTTCGATTTCAGCTCCCAGAATCCCTGAGTATTGGAACAGCTGGCTAGGGCTTCTGGGAGTTGGAGGCCCAAACATCTGGAGGACTGCAGGTTGTGCAGGCCTGCTGTAAAGGATGCATAATGCCTTATCAGCAATATAATTCTGTAAGTAATGTGTTGAGATCATGCGAAGTCTATGTTTCTCCTTGAAGGGGATACATAATATGTATGCCTATATGAGTGTATATGTTAAAATAGCCTAAAACCCGAACAGAGAGCTTGTTAATTCTCCCATCATAAATATCATGGGATTATAAAATTGAAAAATACCTAACTGCAGTGATTATGCTAATTCTCTTTGGACTTTACTGTTGATCAGCAATTGTGAGCCCAAATAATCCAAGGGTAATGAAAAGGATCTCCAAAGAGATACAGTTTTAGTGGGCAGACTGCAAGGAAAAGCTCAATCCATTAGTCTAAATAAGCTTGCCCACTTCACAGCACCTTCCCAATGCCAATGCTGCTAAAACATATCCCAATTAGAGGACAAAAAAGGAGGCAAGTGCATTTTTGTGGGTGGTAAGAATGAACTTCTTCATCAGAGTTCATTCTTACCACCCACAAAAATGCACTTGCCTCCTTTTTTGTCCTCTAATTGGGATATGTTTTAGCAGCATTGGCATTGGGAAGGTGCTGTGAAGTGGGCAAGCTTATTTATCAGAGGTTTTGTTAACTGTACTTGAAGAAAGATAAACCTTGTTGCTTTGGATGCCTAAGTTTACTATAAGCAGAAGATATGATACAGAAGTCCATCATGCAATTTAAAAAAACTTGTCATCATATTTTAAAATGTAAACACAAAATTTGTCGTAAATAATAACTATGAAAATATTTGACAAAATGTATGTAAGTATGCTAGTACTGCAATGCATTTCTGAACTGTTACAGCTTGATATATGAGGTGGAGTAAAGTGTCATTTGGCTCTAACCCAGGTCTGGGCAACTTTCAGCCATGCAGGTGTTTTGGACTTCAACTCCCACAATCCCTAACAGCCTGCTGTTAGGAATTGTAAGAGTTAAAGACCAAAATACCTGCAGGGCCAAAGTTTGCCCAGGCCTGCTTTAACCAAACAATAAGCTGAAATGCTTCCAAATGACATGTTTTGGGGATACAACTTCTTTGCCATCCCTGTGTGAGGAGGACGAGGGAGAAGTAAGTTAGAAGCCAGTTGGGTCCTGAAGTCTGGACTCAGCTCATAACTCAAGATCCTGGCAGACTGTATAGCTTCATCCTTCCTTCCTTAGGCAAAGGAGGAGCAGAATAATTAAGATAAAGCTTCAAGACCATGATGGCCATCCTCCCAACCATCTCTTTTGAGGGAGTTTCCCAGAGGCATAACTGACTGGACTATGTTGAAAGGAGACTGTTGGGCTTTGATATGATGTTTTTTAATATTCTAGTAGTCCATTACTTTGGGTATCTACAGTTCCCTTATGCATCCTCTTTTCTCCTTATATGGTTTATAAGAGACCAATATGAGTGAAAGAGAAGGAAAATGAAAATCAATCACGTTTAAATACAGTATTCCACTCTTCCTTTCAAGAAACAGCAATCGAAGAAAGGGAATGAGTTATGTATAAAAGCAAGCATTTCATTCCTGGTTCAATTGCTCATGTTTATGTTTGCATAAGCAACTGAAGAAACAGATGGCTCTCATCAGGGGATGGATTTGGCTGGAAGGACTACAGATGTTGACCCCTAAAATAAATACCATGAAAGATATATCTGAAGTGATGGCATACAAATGCAGCAATAGGCAACTAAGCAGCCATCAGACCTAAGTCCAGACGGGAAAGGGAAGGTACTGATCACAGGGTCTGCATCAATGGTAGCTAATCAACCACGGATATGTTTCTTACCACTTTAAAAGCCCGGGCAGGTGCAGGCAAAGAACTGGTTTCTTCCAAATATTTCTCCCATGAAAAATGCTTGGGATGTGGATAATCTAAAAGGTAGAATCATATATGCAAGAGACATATCATGCAACATGTATTTCCCAGAAGTAGCTGTGTTAGTCTCTTGCAGCATAAAAAGGATGAAAAGAGGGGGAGGAGAAAAGGGTAATGGTAGCAGCATCTTTCTGGTCTTTAGTTTTGCATGAGTGTTTTTAGATATAAACCCAAGCTCATGCAAAAATAAAAACCGAGGCTTCAAGGTCTAACTACATTCTACATCCAGAGCTAGTTATTACTGTAATTTCAAAACAACAGTAAGTGTGATTTGTATTCTTCTCTTCCCATATAAAGTAACAGGGTATGTGATTCTACTTGTGGCAAGAGCAACAGGTACCAAGACCCATCCCTTGGGACTCTGATACCTCATACTTCCATTTTCTTTTCTGAATAGTAGATGTATGAAGATGGTAGACTACCAGCAAGTATTTGGGGCACTCTGTAGTTGGAGCAGGAGAAGCATCAGCACCTGAAAAGGTGAGATGAGACAGATCCCCCTCCTCAGACCAAACTACTGTGTCTTGGTGCAGCTGCACTCAAAAACATACACACTGAGTGAGGATGGGCCTTAGAAAGCACATATGTCCTCACATTGGGTGTGTGTGTGGGGGGACGGGGGACACTAAGGCTTTGCTATCTCTTCTACATTGGGTGTCAACAAGAAGTAGGAAAAGTAGGAGGCCTTATAATAAATATAGACAGAGCAAAATATAGTTCACTCCAAAACCTCCAAAAAAAATAATGAGGCTGAACCCATTATTATAAGACTTATGGAGTCAAATTATCACAGAAATCATCATCATCATCATCATCATCATCATCATCATCTTTAATTACTTATTAATCGCTCTCCATCCGAGATGCTCCAGGCGATTTACACTGCAGAAATTATACAGGATAAAACACATACATACAAATATTAAAATTAACATGGGTCAAATGCTCTAGTAAAAAGCCAGGTCTTAAGTGCTAGGATTCCCATGGTGAATTTTGACAAGCAAAAAACCAATGCCCAAAGGCATGATCTTAACATTTTACACAGCTATATACTGTATATAGTCGAGTGTAAGTCAAGTTTTTCAACCCCTATTTTTAGGCTGAAACAGCCCCCCTCGGCTTACATTTGAATAAAGGTTATTTATTATTTTACTCTATTTATTATTGTTACTATTACATTTATTATTTAACTCTACTATTGTTATTACATGTATTATTTAACTTTTATTATTATATTTATTATTTTTCTCTATTTATTATTATTAAATTTTATTATTATTATTATTATTATTATTAAATTATTTTTATTGTTTTTGTTACATTTATTATTTTACTCTCATTATGATTAGAAGGATACGTAAGCACATTTACACTGAAGAAGGTGAGAATAATGGTTTAATCAGAGTTGGACAGTCTTCTCTTAAATTACAGTTTTATGTAAATATTCAAAAACATTTTATCTTACTGATGCCTCAATTAATGTAATTTTATTGGTATTTTTGAAATTTACCTGTAGCTGTTATATTTTCCACCCTCGGCTTATACTCAAGTCAACAGGTTTTCCCAGTTTTTTTGTGGTAAAAATAGGTGCCTCATCTTACATTTGGGTCAGCTTATATATATGGTACTCATTTCCAACGATTAAGAGTTATGTATTGATTTTAAATTTAGACAACTGCTTGCCCTACCAGCAATCTAAGACCCCATCTACACTGCCATATAAAATCCAGATTTTTCTGCTTTTAATTGGATTATATGGCAGTGTAGACTCATATAATCCAGTTCTAAGCAGATCATGTGGATTATCTGTGTTTATAATCTGAATTGTATGGCAGTATAGAAGAGGCCTTGCTAAAATCACTCTGAACATAATTTTCCATATTGTACAGAGACACCATTGCTTTGTATCATGGAGATAAAACACTATCAATGTTAGGAAGCCAATCTAAACCTTTCCTGTTTATAAATCCCTTCTGTTAAAATATAACAGCCTTCAAGTCTCTTTTGGGTGACTCATACTATGGCAGAGAATTAAACCATTGCTTTGTGTGGGCTATTTTATTGAGTTTGCTACCAAGAACTACAATTAATTCACTGACAGGTTAAATATTTATGGCACATTAAAGGTTGTCCTATGAGCATATTTGCATGCCCCAGTTTCATCCCACGAAGTATTACTCATGATTTCCACATATTATTGCTTTCCATTTCCTGGTTATTGCTCCTTTCCATGATGATTTTTTTCCATGATAATCTTTACCATTTATTCACTTATCTTTCTTCATGTGATCTCATTCATCTACATGCAGCACATAGCTAAAATTAAATGCCACTTATTGAGCAATCCTAAATTCCTTGATAATGCTTTCATAAAATCTTATTTGCTAGCTGGCATAAGATATTATTTGCTCCCTTCAACCATCACAACCTCATTCTTAAATTAAGACATGAAACATGCTCTTTGGCATCTCATTATGGTGCCAATAAGAAATCTCATTATAGTTTCTTAATTTTTACAGTTATTTATCAAAACACTGTCCTTTATCACTGAATCTCATGGTGGTGTAGAAGTAAAATGTAAGTAATTTACAATACTTTCTGGTTTAAAACATTACATTAATTTAAACATGATACATTAGAAGAGTTTATAAGGTTAAACCATGTGTACATGTACAATTTGAAAAGCAAATGAAGTCCTGTTATAATTTGGCATGCGAAATAAATCAAATCTGGTAAGCATTTGGACTTCGAATGTGAATGGGGTGCCATAGCAAAAAAGGTCCTCTTCCACGTCTTCCCACAATGTGTTGCTCCTGCTGCTCTGACGAACAGGTAAATGTAAGATGGGTACATATAGGGAGAGGCTTTCCTTCAAATATCAAGGTCCCAAGCCATTTAGGACACTGAGGCCCCTTCTACACTGCCATACAAAATCCAGATTTTCTGCTTTAAACGGGATTATAATCCAGTTCAAAGCAGATAATGTGGATTATTTGTTTTGATAATATGGATTGTATGACAGTGCAGAAGGGGCCTGAATATCATCACTGTTTGAATTCAAACTGGAAGACAAATGTCAGCCAGTGAAGTTCCTTTAAAACCAGTATTCAGTGCTGGTCAAATAATAATCTCGTCAGCAATCTAGTAATCTAGTCACTTTCTGCATTTTGCACAAGCTGCAGATTTAAAATAATCTACAAGGGTACATAGAGTACAATACAGAAATCTAGATAGGAAGTTACCAGTGTTTGGGGGGCGGGGGGGGGGTGTGTGTGTGTGGCCACAGTGGCTATCCCTGTCCAGGGAAGGCTACAGCTGGTGAACCAACTGAAACCTATGTAAAGGATTCTGTGCCATGGCTGACTTGGGTATCCCGTGACAAAGATAGATGTAATAATTCACCCAAATTGAGGAAACAGGAGTGCAATCCTACTCAGGCTATAAAATTGCCCAAGTCCCAACCCAAGAATCACGAATGCACCTGTCTTACCGGAATTGACCTTCATCCAGGGTTTTAAAGCATTCAGTCACACAGCCCAGCTGGCTCAGAAAAGACCCAGAGCTTGGTTTAATGACCATACTGATGAGACTGCATTTTAAAATTTCTAGTACCTTATAATTATTTTACTACAAAAAAGTGTACCTGGAGGGGTTATAAGTGTCTTCCTGTGTTCCTTGCACCATCCAACTGGATGAATATGGGGACTAGCTGCTTCACACCTGTAAATAAAATATTTTGTAAAGGTTATTGGGTTTTCAAAATGTCCTAGGCACTACTATGGCCATAACTCCAAAAATACATTCTTAAGGTTGATGCCTATAAAGTGCACCTCCATGTTTAACTAAAAGGGAAGAACTTTTAACTATTGAAGGGTGGATGGTGAATGTTTACCTTTCCAACAGTAGAGTTTTAGCAACAGGAAAAATACTGATAAAGGGTCATCTACACTGTACAATAAATACAGTATGATAACACCAACTGCCATGGTTCAGTGCTATTGAAGACGGGATTTGTAGTTTTGTGAAGCACCAGCACTTTCTGCAGAGAATGCTAAAAAGCCTATTACTATTATTAATTTATTTGTATCCTGCAGTTATCTCTGTGATTGAGACACAAAGAGGCTCCGTAAAACTACAACTTCCATGATCCTCTGCACTGAGTCATGGCAGTTAAAGTTGTGTCAAACTATGTGAATTAATTCTACAGTGTACGTTTACCTTAGCTTTAAACCTGGATCAATCTTAATTGTAACTTGTATTTCATCTAAAGCATCCTATGGTCAATGGGACATACATGAACAGCTGGGTTGCCTGCTAAAAGGAAACAAGCTACAGTATGTAATGCCTTCTCGAAGTGAATTCATTTGACTAAATATAGGACAGACCTTAAACATTCTAATCCTTATTCTTGCTTTGGCTGTATTAAAATTATGTTTACTCAGTACAGGCATCTGAATAGATATTTACAAGCTTGGGTAGAGATTACATTGCTATTTGTTGTTGTTGTTTTGTTGAAGATATTTTCAGGAAAGTGAAAATAACTCTATGGAGAGGCAGGGAATAATTATTTTAAAAGTACAGTAATAAAATATGCATGCTAAAATATTAAAATACCCCACACGACCCCAATAAAAGTCCCAATAATGTTACTAGGAATGCTTAATGAACTGTAGTTTGAAGACGGTAATATAATATCTAGTTATTAACTTTTTTCTTTTCAGAATTAGCAACAATACCAAGAGCCAACACATTTTACTACAGAATGCTTAAAACTGGGAATAATTACTTAAATAGCAGTCCCCTAAAAGTTAAATTTAAAAATAATAGGCAACAATCATACAATGGCAATAATAATAATAATAATAATTTCAATCTGTGTATCTTCTCCATTGCTCTGTTGCCACTTTCATTTATTTTTGCTCAGTAAAACCAGTCAATGCACAAATCATCTTATAGCCCCATCTAGTGTTCAGATGTAAAACTCACAATCAACACATACCTTATGCTAAATTACTGTAAAATGACAACCCACTCCTTCCCCCAAGTTAACACTACAGCTTGTTATATTTTATGTGATTTATATTTACTCATTGGACATGTATCTCTTATGAGTAAAAACCAGGCATATAACACACATTTCCAAACTAAGCATGAAGTGAACGGGAGATGGAGAAAATGGGGTTTCTAGTTTTCCTTTTAGCCAATCTTGCACATCCCTGCTGGCTTCAGAGGAAGGTGCTTCATTGCCTCCACAATCAGCCTAGAAATGCTATGTAGGGCTCCTGGGAGGAAATCCTGTGCATGGAATTTGTGCTGACATAATGATTAGGAGAGTGGTTAAATACCAAACTACTTAAATCAACTTGTTACGTGCCTTCTTATTCATTTCTGAATTATGGTGACCTGAAGGTAACTCCATCACAGGATTTTATTGCCAAGATTTTATTGCCTTCGTCTTTGGATGAGAAAGTGTGACTTGATCCAACACCGGCTCCCTTGCTGTATTTTCTTTCCCAGTCATGCAAACCTGCCCTCAATTTATTCGTAAGTCCAACTTATACACAGCTATATACTGTATATATATGGCACTCGTAGCTCCCCTAGCAACCACTCGCCCCTTAAGAAAAGTCTTCCCTCACCCTTGAACACCAACGTCTAGGCTTAAAATGTCAGCCTAGTTCTGTTGCCCAATTTAGGCACAGCATGCAGACAAAGAAGTTATTTTCAAAAGCCATACCAATAGTCATAGCTTTCATCCCAATTGTCAAAATGAACCAGGAAACGGCTGTCCACGATGTCAGTTACCGTAGCAACACATATGAACGCAGGGTTTTTTCTGTCTACGGCTTCAAGCTTCATTCCCACCCGGAATCCTGATGGAATCACCGTCTAATCAAATAAAGGTTTTAAAAAGTAATGATGAGATCATTTTATTTAACTGCATGGAGTAATGAGACATCAGACATCATCTTTAAAATGCAGATTTAGAATAAATTAAATATCATAAATTCTGCTATTTATAACACCAGTGTTCACGGTATTAAAAAAACAAGTTCCACAACATTTTGGAAATACTACAATTATGTTCATCACTAAACAAAGATGAAAGAAATGTCCTGACTAGTTTAAAAGGTAAAAAGGTTTCTCCTTGACATTAAGACCAGTAATGTCCAACTCTGGGGGGGGGGGGGGGGGGCTCATCTCCATTTTTAAGCAAAGACACCTCCAAAGTCATATGGCCGGCATGACTGCATGGAGTGCCATTACCCTCCCACTGGAGCGGTACCTATTGATCTACTCACATTTATTATGTTTTCAGACTGCTAGGTTGGCAGAAGCTGGGGCTAACAGCAGGAGCTCACTCCGCTCCCCAGATTCAAACCACCGACCTTCTGGTCAGCATGTTCAGCAGCTAACCGTTTTATCCTGCCATGTCACTGGGGTCAGTTTAGTAAACTCCTAACTAGTTTAGTAAGCCATAAAAATATACCTTGCCTAGTATAGTATGCCATAAAAATGAGATGTTCTGCCTAGCTGTATAGTACTAAGAAAATAGACAGGATCACAGAGACCATCTGGATACTACAAGAAGAGGTTGCTCTTTGGGTGCATATACCCCAAGCATGGGCAAACTTCAGCCCTACAGGTGTTTTCGACTTCAACTCCTACAACTCCTAACAGCCAGTATGCTCACTGGGATTTCTAGGAGTTGAAGTCCAAAACACCTGGAGGGCAAAAGCTTGTCCATGCTTGATCTACAGTGTAGATTGACACCACTTTGTACTGCCATGACTCAATGCTATATAATCCTGGGATTGGTACTTTGGTGAGGCACCAGCACTCTTTGGTAGAGAAGGTGGAAAAGCTCATAAAACTACAACTCACTTGATTCTATAACGTTGAGCCATGGCAAACTACATCCTTAGTTACTGCTACCTTGGACCTGTTTCACCTGCAGGACCCTGTTCTTTATAAAACCGTAGTCCCGGCTCAACAGAAACTGTCCATCATTCTGCAGAAAACTTACTGACCAGAAGGCTGGCAGTTCAAAGCTGCAGGTCAGGGTGAGCTCCCACTGTTAGCCCTAGCTTCTGTCAACCTAGCAGTTCAAAAACATGCAAAATGTGAGTAGATCAATAGGTACCACCTTGGTGGGAAGGTAAAAGGCATCCCATGCAGCCATGCTGGCAACACGATCAGGAGATGTCTACGGACAACAGTCTCCTCAGCATGGAAAAGTAACAAGAGCACCTCCTCATGGCTGGAGTTGAGCACCGTCTCCAGACGCTGGAGATGAAAAGGGAGAAGCCTTGCATTTGTCTGTCATTGTTATTCACTGTATAAAAGGCATTGAATATTTGCCTATGCATGTGTATAATGTAATCTGAGTCCCCTCGGGGAAATAGAGTGGAATATAAATAAAGTGCATTATTATTATTATTACTATTATTATAATTATTATTATTATTAGAGTTTGTTTTTCATAGGAAAGAGGTGGTGAATAGATTCAGGGAGCAGCCATCAGAGTCAAACAGGGCAGTGGGAAATTTGAAGAGAAGAGACAATGACAAAGCCATGGAACAGGTGAGGTGGAGCAGGAATGGTCTATTGTGACTCCATCTCACTATAAATATGCCCTATTCCACAACCTGCAGATATGTGTAGTGCCTAAAGGTGGATCGTTAGGGCAGAATAGATATTCTATTGGTGTACCACCCGACAATTGGCAGATAAAGTGGTGTCAAAGTATATTAATTCTACAGTGAAAATAGTATGCCAATAGTCTCAATAGTCCCCCTTTCTGAGATTAGCTAGGATAGGCTCAGAGCTTATGTTTATTAACAAGGAGAAGAAGCAGTGGCAGCAGGCGTAATTCTAATATTCTATGTGATATAACTGCACTATAATAAACAGCAATACTCAGTAGATGTGCCACCATTCCTCATTTAGGGAATTATTTCCCATGTTTTAGCTCTGAGGAGCATGGTATGGTGGTTTAAGCTCTGGATTATGACTGGAGACAAGGGTTTGAATCTCCACTTGGCCACAAAAAGGCTGTTCTATGTCTATGTACAGGAACTCCTGGTGGCGCAGCAGATTAAACCACTGAACTGCTGAACTTGTTGACTGAAAAGCTGGCAGTTCAAATCTGGGGAGCGGGATGAGCTCCTGCTATTAGGCCCAGCTTCTGCCAACCTAGCTGTTCCAAAACATGCACGTGTGAGTATATCAATACTCACATTTGTAGATCAGCGGAAAGGTAATGACGCTCCATGCAGTCATGCCGGCCACATGACCTTGGAGGTGTCTACAGACAACACCAGCTCTTTGGCTTAGAAATGGCGATGAGCACCACCCCCCAGAGGCGGATACGACTGGACGTAATGTCAAGGGAAAACCTTGACCTATGACTTTGGACATTCCAGGCTCAGAAGCAGGCAGTGGCAAACTCTTTTCTAAACAAATTTTGCCAAGAAAACCTTGTTACAGAGTTGCTGTAAATCAGTAACAACTTAGAGGCACACAACAAGAAGTTGAGATTTATTTTAACTAAGATCAAGGACAACAGCAAATTATAGGAAAGCTACTGACAATAAAGTAGCCAAGTACAGCGAAAGAAAACTTACTGTGTTTTGGTTTTCAAATAAGGATTTAGGAGCAGCTTGAGCCTTGCATTTCTTCAGGTATGCAGGCCAATTAAATTCATCTTCTTTATATCCTGAAGAAGCCCGTGAAAGAAAAAGAAAGAAGATAAAATATTCATTAATTCTGAGATGAAGTTATGTCAACTGCAGCCACCTCTGTTAAAACTCATTTTCACTATCTGCCAAATCATCCATTGCCAGTATAAGCTGGAAAAACTTTCTAAAAAAAACTTCCTGTTTTTGGAAACTTAATTGTCAGCAGTATTCTAATTTAGAATGCAAGAACAGTAATTAACTAACAGCTTCTCCTAAAGCGGTCCAGAGGTACAGATACTAAAACTAAACCATCTGCTTCTCTTCAAAAGCTTACAAGTATCCATTTTCTAGTAGACACAGAATATCTGCAGACAACATACACTTATGAATTGTATTTAACTCTTGCAACCAACAAAACAAAGGTATTTTATTGATCAGCCTATTGCCTTATCAACACATATACAATATAAACACAACATACAGTGCAACCAACAAGACGCAGTGTTTGGGAAGAAAAAATAGGCCAAAATCCTTCAAACAACTTATCAAGTTTGGTTTGTAGTCCTAATACAAAGAGGCCATTTAATTATTTTATTATGTCATTATAATCACCATAAAGAAATCAGAAGAGGCTGGAACCAAGTAGCACCATTATGAGTTTTTGGGGATATCAATTCACTTCTGCAAATGTGCTGAAGCTGTATGCTATAAAGCACACAGGTATCTCTTTGAACACTACAACCACCAGTAGCGCATGATGTAAATAAGGAAATGCTTAATTCCAGTGGTGGAATCCCTGTTTGTAACTGCAAAAATGGTTCTCATGAAAGAACAACTGACTAATATAAACAATATAAATAGGGAGAGAGGCTGTATGAATACATGGTTGATTAACACCAAAGCAGAGTTTGATGAAAGAAACACAGCAAAACATGTCCAAGGTGAAAGGTGGCCAAGACAGATGAAGTCATTCATCCTCAGGCCCATGAGCCCTCTTGGGTTGCTTCTACATTGTACAATTAACAGAGTTTGACACCATTTTAACAGCCATGGCTCAATGCTATGGAATCCTGAGATTTGTAGTTTGATGAGAGAGTGAAAGCTATAAAAACTTGCAAAACTACAGTTCCCGTGATTCCATTGCATCGAGCCATGGTAATTAAAGTGGCTTAAAACTGCATTAATTCTACAATGTAAATGCGCCCTTGGACAAGGCGGGCTGTTCCACAGAGGTCAATAACAAAAGGGGATAATTACTCCAATTGAGTTGAGAACATGTGTTTCTATAGTGTAAAACAATAACAATAATACTGTCTCCTGTAAAAAAAAAACCCCAAAAAACCCGAGAACACATTTTTAAAAACAGAAAACTCATAAAATCAGCAATAAGCACTAAGCCATTATTAAAACTAGGAATAACAATAATTAACAACATTAAAAAAAATTTAAGAGATAACTCAAAAATAAGTGTTGTGCTCTGTTTCCTAAAAGTAGGGAGAAGTAGTGATAGACTGAACCTCCAAAGGAAGCGAGTTCCACTGTTTTGGAGTTACATGAGAAAAAAGTCCTCTCATAGTTCGCTGTGAGTAATGATGTCTTCAAAAGGGATTTCTAGCTGGTATTAACAGCATGACAGGTTCATAGCCCCTTAGATGGCTAGGCCCAAATCCATTTAGGGCTTTAAACGATAAAATGATATCAGCATGAAATGCTTCTATCCCAGGAAAAAGACAGGGTACAAATAAAATACCATTAAAATAAAATATTGATTGTAGATGAATGCAGACCTTGCAATACTGGAATAACAGTGTTCCCATGGTTTGAACTATTCAGCAGTTTATCTGCTATATTTTTAACATGCTCTTTGTGGATGGTCTAGATGTAATCAAGGCATGGATAACCATTTTCAAATGTACTCGTGCTACCATGATTTTTTAAAAACAGAACATATTACCTTTTGGTGGATGAAGCTTGTGCCCTGTTTTCTCACACCATCCCACTGGGTGAATGTCAGAAGAGTCAGCATTCAGCCAAAAATCATAACAATCTGGATATTCATCAAAGTGAAGTCTAATTCTGTAGCCAAGTGTCTAATAACAAAGAGGGAAGCAAAGCACAGCAAAGTGAAGCATAGACATGAGTCAACGTAGACTAAGAAGCAGACTTACGTATAAACACAAAATTTTAATCTGTGTTATAGATGGGATCAGAACTAAGAAATTCTAGATATACTACTACAGTTTATCACACAGTGACAACTTCTTTTATTATTGAGAAAAGGGAATCAATGAAAGGCATGCTGTTTAGGTAAGAGAAAAGAGCAAGGCCATGGTGTAGTACGTATTCAGATGTGACCACCAGTCACCCCATAAATATTTTTCAGCCAAATATGGACATACAATTTAAAAGAACTCTTTACTGAATGATATGTTGGGGGACGGGAGAACCTGAAACAGGCCATGAAATAACCAGAAGTAACACGCCAATAATCTGGAGATGTGGTTCTCCAGATTCTGGGGCATACGGATCCCCCGTTTTAGACTTTACAGTATTTCTTTCAGGTATAATTGTCCCAATATGGATCTGTCTTTCTTTTTCACAACAGAAGAGCCATTAAGTGATGCTGAATGACAGTGAGAAAAGGGTAAAAGCTAATTACAGAAGACACAGTTGAAATTATCAAATATACTATCATAAATGTGGTAATGGCCACCAAATTAAATATAATTTAATTAAATATAATTAAATATTAATCAAACTAAAAGAAAACAATGCTACCCATCTTAACAGAATTGGAGGGAGGTCACCTCTGAATGCAAACAGGTAGCCAACAGGAGAGCTTTTGGCCTCATGTGCTTCTTGTGAGCCTTTTAAGGGTATCTCTTTGGCCACTATTAGAAACAGCAAATTGGTGTAGCCAAGTCTCTGTTCTTGTCTTGCAAGGCTTTGTTCTTTCTTGCAAGGCATTTATCTTCCCTCAATCACACTCTCAACTGCTTGATAGGGAACTTTCCTTAACTATCATCACTATCATCATCATAATCATCATCATTATCTATTTATTTATATAGCTCAATCACTGTACATGGCATTTTACAAATAAAAGGACAACAAAACTGTTCTCTGCTCTCAGATTACGAATTGAATTAAGACACAATACAAAAGGGAAAGGAAAGGGACGAAGTCAGGCACATACTGCTTCTTCTTTTTTCCCTTTGAGACCACAGCTGTGGCAGTTGGAATGGAGGGTCTTTCATCTGGGCCTAGGCATGTTGAAATTGCACCTCCTTCTCTTTTTGAGTTCCATACAAATTAGAATTTACCTTTTATTAAAGACTAATGTTCGGTACTCACCTCAGCCACTGTAAGGACACAATACATTGACTGGTGCTCCGGATCCACCCCTTCCAGCTTCATTCCCACTTTGAATCCATTTTTGTTGTAAGGGAGGGATTGATACTAGAAGGAAAGTACCAATTTTGTCATTTCAACATGAACACAGAAAGATGGGTGGATATTCCGATATGGATCTCAAAACTTGAATAGATTCTCTACTTATGTATTTAAAGCCAGCCATAAGTATACACATCTGGAGAACTAAAAGGAGGGGAATACTTTTGGAATTATATAACACTTAAAAATATGGTGGGATGACATATCTTTTCTAGGAACAGATTGCAAACAGGTCTTTCGTTTTCTGTGAGATCTTGCTAGTTCCTGGAAATTTTACAATGAATGAACGAATGCTGACAAAACTTCTCCCTTTACAACATTGTGAAAGGTAAATTCCAAAACACCTGGAGGGTCGAAGTTTATCCATGTCGGGGTTAAAGAAATGCAGTCCAATGGATTCTGCCTCATATGGGAACAGTTGTCAAGTTCCATAAGGAAGATAAGTATCAAACTAAAGAAGTCATTAGGTTCATTTTTAACCACACCTTCTATTTAGAGGTCGGCAGAACTCATGAGGCTCTCCAGATGTTGCTGGACTTCAACATTTTTTACCACTGCTATGCTTGGTACGATGGACCGGGTTGGCAGTAAAACAATATATATGATTCAATGATTAACTGCCACAATACATGATCTAAGTTTCCTGTAAGAAGCAGTCTGATAGGATTTCAAAAGATATTGTACCTCTTTAAAAATCTTAAGCGGTGCTGCTATTGCCTTCTCTTCTTCCAAATATGAAGGCCAACTCCATGCTTTCTTTGCCTTTGACATTAACGCTGGAATTACAAATTAAATGACTTAAATAAATTAGGAAACATGACAGCTTTGCATGTTATTTAAGCAAAATATTTTAGTATACCAAGAAACTGACTGTGTGGCTTTGAACAAGTCACACACACAGCCAGAGAAGGAGGCAATGGTTAACCTCTTCTGAACAAGTCATGCCAAGAAAAGTGTGTGAAGGGTTCGCATAGTTAAAAAACAGGAACTCTCGATGGCTCAATGGGTTAAACGCTTGTGCCAGCAGGGCTGCTGACCGAAAGGTTGGTGGTTTGAAACCAGGGAGCGAGGTGAGCTCCCATTTGTCAGCTCCAGCTTCTCATGCAGGGACTAAGAGAAGCCTCCCACAGGATGGTAAAACATCCAGATGTTCCCTGGGAAACGTCCTTGCAGATGGCCCATTTCTCTCACACCAGAAGCAACTTTTAGTTTCTCAAGTCGCTCCTGACATGAAAAATAGGTTTAAATTGACTTGAAAACAAGAACAGCAACAACAAAATGATCCCAGCTGAACTAATAACTTCATTAGTCTTATTTATCATTGATTTTAGTGCTGCTGCATTAAACGTAACTATACTATTTCTGGCTTACCTATCATAACAGAGCGCTAGTCAGTTAACCAGCAATTCCTAATATTTTTTTTCTTCAAGTACCTATTCTGCTATTAATGCAGTAGATCAACTCTGCTACTTCATGTATCTCCTTTTTTTAAATTTCTTGTTACATACATTTTTCTTATTTTTTACCATGTGGCATAGATTTGAAATTACCCACCCACCCGCCACATACACACCAAAGGGACACAAAGCAAGGTCTCCTTGTTGCTTTTGAAATATATGCTTTCAAAAAATATCTGTATGACCTTAACATATGCTAAAATAAATTCTTGCTTGCATTCAAAAGAGTTAATTATCATAATCTCATTTATATGTCAACTTTAAAGTTCCTCTGTGGAATAGTATAACAAAACCGAAGCATAAAGGAAGTTATTCAGTCAAATGATAAAAAGGAAGTACATGAAGAACAATGTTTTGCAGACTTTCATTTTACAAAATTACAAAGACCTTGCTGTACACAGCACTATCATTTGCTTTCATGAGATAAGTAATGAGCCTCTGAGAAAGTGATGAAAACTGGGAGAGGGTCAAATACGAACTTACTCTCTTTTAGAACGGCCATGTCTCTTTTCCTCTTCCGCGTGGCTCTCTGGGAGACTCTTAGTACCCTCCCTTCAGGGTTCTCCTCCTGAATTGCAAAATTAAAGCGTAAATGATATTTAAATAACTTCATAAAGACAATTTTACTGCATTTTAAAAAACTGTTCATGACTTAAAGGTTTGACTCAAATAATCTGTAAAACCTCCAAGGTACTCTGTGCATGTTTATTTTGAAGTAAATCTCTATGGGTGTACATCTACTAGAACTATTTTAAAGGGTTCAGCCTTAATAATCCATGTGCTTACACAAAAGCTGTACAGAGTAAATATAACAATAATGATATGGTTCCTGAAATGAGCAGTTTTGACAAAGACCAATCATTCAATATTTCCAAAACACGTATGTTTTTAAAATTTGGAACTTTTAGACAAGTCTATGCAAGTAAGCGGTTGTTTTTTTTATTTTAAGGTAGCAACTGCAAATAATTTGACCTGTAACGCCATTAGATTCATCATACTAACTGTTTCCTTGTCCTTTTTGTTTCTGTCTTCTATACATTCCAATTTGGGAGGCAATTTGATTTTCCTTTTTTGAGCATTCTTAGAAGAGTCTTCATCATTGAATTCTGATATGTCTTTGTCTTCCTTTTGCTCTCTAGAAAGAGAAAAACCATGTCATTAATTTATTCCACTGTCAAAAATAAAAAAGCAGTGACATTCAAGAAAAAAATTAAATAAAAGCCAAGATTAATCATTACAAGTACTACAAATGCCAATATGTGATATCGTATATAATAGGGGAGACAGACTCTAGATTGGGATCTACTAGTAGATCTCTGGGTAACCCTCTACCACAAATCTGTCAATTCCTGTGAGAAAACACAGAAAGAAAAATGTTAGCAGAACCTGATTATGCCTGTTTAAAATTTTGCTTTGCTTTTTCTCTTCAAAAGCAACTCTTGCAGTGTTCTAAGACTTTGGGGGACCCTGAAGGAAAAATAAAACTTAGCTAAAAAATATTTATGATCTTAAATGCAACTATAACAATAACTTGACACAGTGTAAAACTACAGAAACACCAAAAAATCAGAGGTTAAGAAAAATCCCTTTAAAACTAATTGCAAAAAGCAAAACAAAACACAGGAGGTGTATGAGCATGCAAGAAGGATTCACTGGTGAAGATTTGTGATGTATTTGTTATCAAAACCATCCTGTACTGATATGAATCAACAGGCTCAGTTTCTACTGTAAATTCAATATTTGTTCTATAGTAATATGCATATAATTAGTTGCTGTAACAATTAAATGTAATATGCTAGAGTCAACCCAAGAAAATATTCTGAAATGTTTTGAGATGAGGCTTGCACACACAGCATAAACCTGTTTGCTTTGAAAGAGAAATATTTGGTTTGCTTTACATACATACATACAAACAAAGGCAATCCCTCATTTGAATATTACTGTACACACTTAGGCCCACTTACAATTTTATATTTGATTATTCATTTAATATCTGCCATGGTTCTTTCCCATCGAGGGATCCAAAGCAGCTTACAAAATATAAAATAAAATGTAGTAAAATATGTACTTCTTGGTGGCTGCCCTTCAACTCTGGAACTCCCTGCCCAGGTAAGCCAGAATGGCCCCTTCCCTGCTGTCCTTCCGATGGCAGGCTAAAACCTTTTTATTCAGCCAGGCATTTAAAGATGTAGATGTTTAAGTCAGGAGGTACTATGGTTTTATTTGCTTTTAACATTTTAATTTACATTGTTTATTAAAATATTAATGATGTTTAATATTGTTTTAATATTTGTATATTGTATATTTTCAGTTGTATTGTAATACTTCTAATTGTAAGCTGCTTTGAGTCTCGGTATGGAGAGAGAAGGCAGGGTATAAATAAACATAATAATAATAATAATAATAATAATAATAATAATAATAATAATAATAATATATTGTTTTAAACAATTAAAAGCATGTGGAAATACACTTAAAACATAAAGGAAAATTAGATTGTACTACTCTGCCATAATTAAAATAAGTAAAATGAACAGACCTTAACCTACTGGCAGAAAGACAACAGGGAGCTGCCTAATAAGACTTAGCATGGAAAAGTGATCCACAATCTAGGAGTTTCTTTTCTTTCTGTTACTCAGAAATGTACTGGTAACTAAAGCAGCTATTTCAACAGGGACAGTGTGTGGTGTATGCTGGATCAGCCCCATTATTGGTCAAAAAGGCATCCCCTTAGCTGCTGTGAAGGAAGGAGGGAATCCCAATTGTCCAAAGCACTAAACCTTACCATTCTCTTTTGCCCTGTGTGTCACAGTGGTCTACAGCCCCAGTGCATGTCCTACCTGCAGCAATGTTGGCCATGGGGCTGGGGTGATGAGGAATGAGTGAAGGAATTGCCCCTCTTCTCTCCCCTTTTACCCCAGGTCACTCCAGTTAACATCACTGCAATGTTTGACTGGTAGGACCCTTCTTGCGGCCAGAGATTGCCATGGCATGGAGGGCAGAAGGGGCTGTCTGAGCCTGAGAAACACAGGATGGTAGTCGGAACATTTGCAACTGATTCTATTACAGAACTGAGCCAACTGTTCAGACAGGCAAATAGTTACGCAATGATCCGAATTTTGGGCCAAAAATTGGATTATCCCTTTAGTTTACATGAAGCAAATGCTCATTAAAGTGGCCTTGTTCTACATTACCCTGGATCGGCTCTGTGCGGCATTTATTAATTTATTTATACTTTATTGACCGACCTGGCTACAATTCATCCTAAGTTGTCAGTGTAGATTTGTCCAAAGCTGTGGACCTGAGAGCCTAGCATAGCCTGAATCTCACTTCCTGAACACATTGTTGACCAGAAGCAAGTACTGGTAATGGCTGGGAAACATTATTTCCGGGAGGGGGGGGGGGGGGGGCAAACATCAATACTATGTGATGCATATGACAAAGGTCCAGTGATGTAAATCATTGTATTTTCTTCCCCTCTAGACAGTAAGGCTAAAACAGTGATAAATAGGCTATAAAAATAAAATATGGGTTGCATTTTTAAGCTCAGCTGATTTCACCATGAAAGGAACTCTTGTTTTTCCTTGTGGCCTTAATATTCTCTTATATTGCAGTAATAATTGAACTTGCTGTCATATTATTTTCAGCATATTTATTTATTTATTTAAAACATTTATATTTCGCCCTTCTCACCTTGCAGGGGACTCAGGGCGGAGCACATCATATATATGGCAAACATTCAATGCTGGGACATAAAACCATAAATATAATATATATAGCAACTATCCTTACCTGTTTTTAATTTGATGGGTACACTTAGGGCTACAAGCTTTGTCCCCAGCTGCATACTCCACCGTAGTTCCAGAATTAAAACAATTTTCATAGAAATGAAGTCCATCTACCTCCTTCAGTTTTGACGACACATCTGTCTTCTCTGAGAAGGCTACATAGTGGAAAGAGCAGTGGGTCTTTGGGACTGTGTATAAGTGAAAAATATCAGACATTGTTGTACATCATGTGTAACAAGCAAAATGTGCCAGTACATGCTATATATTTTCCAAGCTTTTCTAAACTCACTTATGCTCATTTCTACTGCTATGAAAAAAGGCTCAAGGGCTTTGCAGCAGCTATTGATACAGTTAAAGCAGTGTTATTGGCTTTAGCTGAGACAGTTCACTCAACAGCATTACAGCTGTTTTTACCACTTACATTTATTATTTTTATACAGTGGCTTACTATTTTTATAACAGCAGAGTACCCAATAGTATATGGCTAGTTAAATAGCCACCAGACTGGTAATAGCTCAATGGACTGTAAGTATACTATTTTAATTTTTATGTCTTAATGTTTATGTTTTTTAACTGTTCTAATTGCTGTTTTGTATTTTATGATGCAGCATCAAATTGTTGCCAATTTGAAGCTGCCCTGAGTCCCCCTAGGGGTTGAGAAGGGCAGGGTAAAAATGTTCGAAATAAATAATAAAATAATAATCAATTTGTGAACAGGATTGGCATGAAAGGTATCGGGCTGGATTCAGACCAGTGATCAAAGTTCAACACCAGAGTTTCCACTGGAGAATGAAGAGATATTCCTAGTGATTTCATTTCCCCCTTAAACCTTCTTGCGTCCTCCTACCCAAAAAAGATGCTTTGGAACACTAACATTTAGTTTTCAAGACAGCAATTAGATCTAAAGTACTTTCTATAGTTACACTAATATGTGGTCATGACTCAGGTTTACCAAATGACCATATACTGGAGAGATCAGAATTTTAATCGAACTCTAGAACTGTTCTCTTAGGCCCCTTCCACAAAGCTGTATAAACTCTACATTGAACTGGATTACATGACAGTGTGGACTCAGATAATCCAGTTAAAAGCAGATATTGTGGATTATCTGCCTTGATATTTTGGGTTATATATCTGGGTGGACGTGCCTTTAAGCTTAATTCATACTTCCAAGAAGGCTAGGGCATTTTTTGTTGAAATTTCGTAATACACAAGAACCTAAATACTCTAAAACAGTGGTTCTCACCCTGTGGATCCCCAGGTGCCTACAACTCCCAGAAAGCCCAGCCAGTTTACCAGTTGTTAGGATTTCTGGCAATTGAAGGCCAAAACATCTGGGGACCCACAGGTTGAGAACCACTGCTCTAAAGGCACCAGATTCTATCTGACATTGGATAGGAAGTAAAGTCTGGTTAGTCCTTGGATGGCATATCACCAAGGAATACCAGTTGCTACTGGCCATCTGTCAGAGGAAAGAACTAAACTACTTCTAGAAACTACTACCTACCTAATAAAACCCTGTGAAATTCATGTATATGTTGACTTGAAGACATATATATATGCCCACAGAGTCCACATTCCCTATCTTACATATTGATTCTGTTTAATATTTCTTATTTTCTATACTGTTGTTTGTTTTCTTGTACAGACACAGTGCTAAAAATAAGGTAAAGGTTTCCCCTTGACATTAAGTCTAGTTGTGTCCAACTCTGGGGGTGGTGCTCATCTCCATTTCTGAGCTGGCGTTGTCTGTAGACGCTGGGGCTAACAACCTGAGCTCACCCTGTTCCTTGGCAAGCATCCTCAGAGGTTGTGAGCTCTGTTGGAAACTATACAAGTGGTATTTATATATCTGTCCAGGGTGGGAGAAAAAACTCTTCTCTGCTTGAGGCGAGCATGAATGTTGCAATTGACCACCTTGATTAGCATTTTATTGCCTTGTAGATTCAGAGTCTGGCTGATTGCTGCATGGGGGACTCCTTTGAAGCCATTGAAATCCACAAGCATGTGGACAATTTCAACAGAAAGGCGGAATCCATGAAAATGAACAAAATATGGCTCCCAGGATTTATTTATTTTTTAAAGCCTCTAAAATCAGGACAGTAAATAAAGAGCAACCCTCAAAAAACAGGGGGATTCCAGACAAGAATCAATCAGGGCCAGTGAACACCAGGCAGCATTCAGCCAGGCTTTGAAGCTACAAGGCACTTAAATGCTAATCAAGGTGGCCAATTACAACATTCACGCTCGTGGGAAATTTGAATTCTGGTCTTCTGGCATTCTGTCCAACACAAATCACTACACCATGCTGACTTTCCGAACTGACTTGCACATGATTAGAATTAATGGACTGCACTGTTAGAGATTAAATAAATTCTGTTCTCTCTTACACAACTAGTTAACTTTGCTATAACAATGAGATAATTGCACAAAAATAATTAAATCAACGCCCTGACCTTCTTGAGCAGTTGGCACCATCCAGGTTGTGGTAGCTGTTGCCTTTTTAACATTTTCCATCTCTGTTTCATCAGTGATCACTTCCAGGGCACCAAATTCATTCACACGAAACTGATTTAAAAAAAAGAACATGTAAAAATTTCAAAAAATTATGTCTTCAATGTACCCAAATTGAGTTTTTCATATGTTATACATACATTGTGCATCTAATTCCTACTTACAGCAGTACTTACCACATGCTTTTTACAATAAATGCTAACATTTTCCATACATTTCTCTTATTGTGATATGTGTCATATCTATACACAGAATACATTCTGAACTCGGAAATAGTTGGCCAGTCACCATTTTTAGCAAAGCCTATAATACACTTTCATGAAGCTGTTTCTTTCCATCTGTTGACATTCCTGTCTGTTTATACATGAAAGGGTGCAGCTGCGGGTCATTTCACAGTGAAAATACATTGGGAACCAAAAAAATGTTTTGAAAGGCTCAATAAAGTGCCTGGTCTTCCAATCCCTACTCAATACTGATGTGCAGGGAACTATATGAATACAGAGAAAGAAAAATCAGGTACAATTAAATGGCAATAATTTAGGTAAAATAAAATGTACAAGGGAAATAACGTAGCACACCACTACCATCTAGTGGTCATTATGAAAACACAACCACGAAATTCCAACAAAAATATGGTATGTTTGAAGGTGAACATTAAGTGTGGATTCTAAATGGAGAAAATAGCAAAAGCCACATAAATCCTTTTGTATCAGAATTCCAATGTTCATACACAATGGACATTATGTAAGATTGGATGTAACAAGCACATTTGGAAATAACCAGTCAGCATAACAAATACACGGAAACATGTAAATAAATGCTTTTGCAAAGTTAGTGCTTTTAAAATTTTCCACACCTTGATATGGAGTCAAGTCACCCATCCATCATTGTTTTGAGTTGTCTGCATAGATCCTTGTCTATCTTCCCTTCTCAATGAGGCTTATATTCTTAGCTAGCCCATTTGCAGTGACATACCCTCGTAAAGTATTGTATATCTATCCAGAAACTATAATGCAATGAAAAACATATCCTAATGCATTTTGGCAATCAATAATAATAATAATAATAATAATAATAATAATAATAATAATAATCTTTATTCTTATACCCCCCCCCCCATCTCCCTGAAGGAAGTCTGGGCAGTTTACATGGGTACCAAGCCCCATATAAACAAAATTAAAAATTGGCACCAAAATACATTGCTTTACAATAAATTAAACACATAAAGAAAAAACATACAAAACATCATAAAAACATAAACTCATGAACAATAATAACCAGTAGTCAAGCACAGTGGGCGTGTTCAGAGCTGAAACGGTGGGGCAAAGGCTTGTGCAATATACTACAAGGGTGGGGCTGATAATAAAGTGCAAAAGCAGATATTAAGTTAGGGCTAGAAGTCGATTGTTGAACCAATTAATCAAAGGTACAATGGAACAACCAAGTTTTCAGGTCTTTCCGGAAGGTAGACGGAGTGGGCTCTAATCTAATCTCTCTGGGGAGGGAGTTCCTGAGCCTGGGGGCCACCATCAAGAAGGCCCTCTCCTAGTATTTATAACCCTTTTGATTTCTGAGTATACTGTACTTCTGAGTAAACTTCAGATTTCTACTTCGTAACAGAGGGGGAGAGAGTCGTGCTTGCTTGTGAATTATTTCCAGCCAAACACAAACTAAAATATCAGAAAATAATGACAAATTATACTTCATAAATCCAGCTTTCTCTCATCTCACTAACTTCTGTGTCCCCACTTTTTCTTCTGGGTTTATATAGGCTCAAACTGCAGTAAGAGCAAAGAGAGGGAAGCATGCTAGAGCTCAAACTTAATCAAAAGAGTAGGCATTGCTCACCAAACTCCCTATTTCCAGTAGAGCACAATTCAAAGTGACGGCTTTAGCCTATAAAGCCCTAATCGGCTCCAGCCCAGCTTACCTGTCTGAACATATCTCTCGCTATGAACCATCTCAGAAGTGATCGTCTGGGGAGGCCCTGCTCTCGATCTCACTCCCCTCGCAAGCATGACTTATGGGGATGAAGACAGGACCTTCTTAGTGGTGGCTCCTTGGCTATGGAACTCTGTCCCCAGGAAAATTAGATCAGCTCCCTCCTTCCTGACTTTCAGGAAGAAAGTTAAAACCTAGCTGTGGGACCATTTGCACAATGATTGTATTTTTATATGTATTCTAGGCACTGAATTGTGCCTTTGCTTTGAGCCATTCTGAGTCCCCTTCAGGGTGAGAAGGGCAGGATATAAATGTAGTAAATAAATAAATATTTTATGAAAGGAGGAGAGGAGCAGGTGTAAACAAAAACACAGGAACTATGGTTTATTTAAAATAAAGTGGCAGGGCAGAGTAAATGAAACAGGCCTGACAGATACACTTATTACCTCTCTAAACAGGGCATCGGGACCAATAATTGAGTGAGACATAGGGGAACATGTAGTTCTCACATATTGCACAGAGAAGATAACAGCCCAAATACAGCTCTAAGCCTTCAATCTCAGTCACACTTCCTTAGCTGCGGAGATGTTCCTACAAGAAAGCTATGTAGATGTTGCAGCGTGTTAGAACAGAAAGCTGCCACTATATTCTCCTGCACTGCAAATGCTGTGTCCAACTAGGCATTTCTGTTAGATATCTGATTGCTTTAGAATGTCATTATAATGGTGTCGCTTTTTTGCACCACTCTATTAGCAAATGATTAGGATAAGCTTCCTATCCCTAATATGTGAGAGGAAGCCACAGGGAGGAGGGAGCAAGCTTGTTTTCTGCTTCCTTGGAGACTAGGACGCGGAACAATGGCTTCAAACTACAAGAGAGGAGATTCCATCTGATCATGAGGAAGAACTTCCTGACTGTGAGAGCCGTTCAGCAGTGGAACTCTCTGCCCCGGAGTGTGGTGGAGGCTCCTTCTTTGGAAGCTTTTAAACAGAGGCTGGACGGCCAAGTGTCAGGGGTGATTTGAATGCAATATTCCTGCTTCTTGGCAGGGGGTTGGACTGGATGGCCCATGAGGTCTCTTCCAACTCTTTGATTCTATGATTCTGTTTCTAATCGAGCTTTTTCTGGTTTGGTTCTCCCCAGTTTTTTCTTTCTGTTATTGTCCTGATGATCAAAAGATTTCTTAAAACTGACTTTCTTACCTCACTACCACACTCAAAGGTTTTGTGTTTCTATTGCTATTTACTATCTAGTTCTATTACATACACCTGCTCATTCATGGGCATAAATGTTCTTAACCACATCACTCCACGCAGCTGATGAAAGAAATGTAGTAAACTCAGACTACAAGAGCTTATGCTACACACATCTTTCTCTTGGGGTGCATCTACAGTGTAGAACGAATAAATATCACTTTGCCATGGCTCAATGTTATGAAATCATGGGAGCTGTAGTTTTACAATAGTGGTTCCCAAACTGTCGTCCCTGGACCACCAGTGGTCTGCAAGAACGAAAACATGGTCTGTGGCCTCACCATTATTACACTGTTGCCTCGAACGACACGGAAGTGAGAGTGACTTGTCTTGTGAAACCCTCTTATACTGCTGAAACAATGGGGATGGCGGGAAGGGAGAGGCTGACTACCCACGAAAGATTACTACTACCACATCAGCTCTAGATTATTAAACATGGTTTTCTGTGGGCAAGCAGATGGCGACTACTGGATGGCATATGTTCTTGCAGCTCTAGGAAACTAGAGCTGATGTGGTCTATCCAATGCAATTTTCTGAATTAGCATCCCAAATAACCAAGCCAACTCTAAAGTTGACCAAAAACTGATTTGTAATCCTTTTGGTACTAATGTTGGAGAGTGATCCCTGGTCAAAGTGGTCCCTGGTCCAAAGAAAAAAAGTTGGGAATCACTGTTTTACAAGGTCATTAGCCTTCTCTGTGCAAGAGTACTGGTGCCTTACCAAATTACAACTTTCAAAATTTCCTAGCAGTGCACTATGGCAGTTAAAGTGGTATCAGATTGCATTAATTCTACAATACAGAAGCAGCCTCAGTTGCCAAGTGCATGCTGATCCAGGCTTAACCAGACTAACACTGGTATGTATGAATTCTACTTAAATTCTAAGTGTATTTCTTTTACATTTGGTGCTGTTTGTTGGGGTTTTTTTCTGGAAAATAAAAAAAATCCAAGGAGCACAAGGCATATTTGCCACACATTAGACAATGTCACAGGATAATAAATTGTAAATGATATTGCATTAACGTTAAGATTTTCAAAACAGAAATGTGGAATAATTTAAGTTTAATGGTAGATTTGTCTGTGGTTACCCTGCCATACCATTAATTTTCCCATGTGTTCTTTCTAAAACTTCCTGGCTGTGTCTATTTTTGCAATGATTTTTAAAATTAGCGCATTGGCTTGTTTGGATGTAATAGCCAAATACTAGACCAATTTGTAATCCTTCTTTGACAATATAGCACTTGAGAAAACAGAAGGCCTAAAATATTTCATATACTGCCATTCTGCCAGGAAGCAATTTTAAATTACTACAGCTTGTCCAATTTAAAGGAAGCACTTGAATCTGAAGGTGATAGAGATTGTGTACACCCGTTAAAGTGATTCAAAAACCCAGGGCATTTCACATTTATATATGCTCTTCAGCTTTGAAGATATCAACTCTTCCAAGTCCTCAACACAGTGCAAAGCAATTGTAAAGCACTGAAGTGTTTCTGATTTGAACAGGCTGACAAATAGAAAAGTTCCAAGGCTTGAAAACCTTTGTTAGTGTCCAGTTCTCTATCAAACTGTAAGTCAGTCTGCTTCACTATTTTCTATTTTATGTTCACCTCCTTGTACATTTGATTAATAATTTGAATCAAAGAGCAGCATGCAATGTTACAAACAAACCTGGATAATGAACGGGTTTGGAAGAACTGCAATTGTATTGCAGGCAAGCAGCAAACTGGAATAATTGCTCAAGGCAATGTATAAAATTGCTTACTATAAATAACACAACCTTCAATATTAAAAACAAGAAATGTAATCTGCATTCCTGTTGGAAAATTTTGGAAGAAAAAATTAAAGAACTCTGTTTCAGTGA